GAGTGAGTTCTCCACGCTAGTCATTTCCTATACTGTTGAGTCAAGGGCTTGAAAAAGTTGTGTTGTACTTGGATGTGTGTTAGTGGTGATTATCCAGCCTGACAACAAATTGGAGGACATCTCTCTTCATTGGAAACTTAAATGCTACTTATAAACCTGAATATTTACTGTATGACTCAATTTAAGGCCACAGATCATGTGGGGAGCAGCTATATATTATACTTCTTTTTTTTTTTTTTTTTTTTTTTTTTTTTTTAAAAAATTTTTTTTTTTTTTTTTTTGGTCTTTTTGAGACAATGTCTCAAAACTCATAGATCCCAGTGCCTCTGCCTTCCAGGTGCTCGGATTAAAGGCGTGTGCCACCATGCTATATTGTACTTCTAGACACTTTTTTTTTTTTTTTTTTTTTTTTTTTTTTTTTTTTTACTCCCTGTCATCCCAGCTGACCTGAACTCACTATGTAGACCAGGTTGGCCTTGACCTCACAGTGATCCGCCTGCCTCTGCCTCCCAAGTTCTGGGTCTAAAGGCCTGCGCCACGATGCCCGGCTTTCTAAATGCTTTTCTATCAGCTGTGTAGCTAATGATCTTCAATTGTGTGAGGTCAGAATTTAGAATGGGCTCAATATTAATAGACTTATTTTGGGGTGTGTGTGTGTGTGTGTGTGTGTGTGTGTGTGTGTGTGTATGCTGGTTTTAACTGTCAACTTGACACAACCTAGAATCACTTGGGAAGAGTCTCACTGAGGAGTTATCTAGATCAGATTGGCCTGTGGGTCTGTCTGTGGGGGATTGCCTTGATTGTTAATTGATGTAGGAAGATGCAGTCCATTGTGGGCAGCACTATTTCCTGGGTGGGGTTTCCTGAACAGTGTAAGAGAGGAGAAAGCTAGCTGAGAGCAAGCAAGCAAGGGTCCATATATTTGTTCTTGCTCTGCTCTTGACTCTGGCCATGATGCACCCTTGATGTCCCTGCAATAATGACTGTTAACTTGGATTTATAAGCTAAATAAACCCTTTCTTCACAAAACTGCATTTGGTCAGAAGATTTTATCATAGTGACAAATGAAACTAGAAGGGTGTGTATGTTCACATGTGTGTATTCAAGAACCATGTGCCTTGTTTTTTTGTGTATTTTTTTTTTTTTGAAAATTTTATGGCTTTAAGCACAGATAACTGTAGGAGCATGTGAGCCGGCTATGTGTTTTCTTCGCTGAACAGTCTTGCATCGGGGTCAGTGACTGATGGCCAGCTGTCTGCCCTTTCAACCATGGCTTTGCAGTTCTTGAAGGGAATGTTGTGTACACATTTGTTGCACATCAAGAGCATTTCCAGCTCCTTGACATTGTGGATCAGGAACTTCTGGAAGCCACTGGACAGCATGTGCTTTGTTTTCTTTTGTTTCTTATAACCAATCATCAGGGGCTGGCCCTAGAATCATCTCCATGCCTTGTTGTTAGTACCTCTGGATTTCTGCTAGTTGTGCTTAGTTTTGATATACTGGTCAGACCGGTGCTGGATGAGCATCTTGGTCCTCTCTTTAACCATCTTGGGCTCACTAGAGGTCTAAGGGCAGTCATGATGACGCACAGGAGATGGCAGCCACCTTGCAGGCAGTGCCAAGGAAGAAGAGTTTGTTTTTGTTTTTAAATATAGGGTGTCTCAGTGGCCTGAAGCTCAGCAAATAGACTAGGCTAGCTTGCCAAGAACCATGCCAGGGATCTGCCTCTCTCTACATCTCCATTGCAATTACAAATTTACAAGCCTATGCTTCTAGGCCTGTCTTTATATTTGTATGTGTCTCTGTATGTGCTTCAGAGTGCAGGTGCTAGTGTTGTTCAGAAGAGGGTGTTTCCCCTGGAACTAGAGTTAGAGGCGGTTATGAGCCACACAATGTGGGTGCTGGAAATCCAATTTGGGTCCTCTGTAGGAGCAACATCTGCTCTTAACTGCTGAGTTATCTCTCCAGACTCCCCCCACCCCAACCTCCCAATTAATGTGGAAGCTGAGGATCAAACTCAGGTTCTTAATGCGTGCATAACAAGCACTTTACTGAGCTATGTTCCCAGCCCAGCAGACTATTGTTATAGTCAAACATATCATGAGATTTTTGTGCTGTATTGTTTCTCCTGTGAAGGTTGGTTTTTCTAACTTCAGATATCCTCTGTACTAGGTGAGTTGTAATTTAATATGTAAGCATGTAAGTCACATGGTTGCTGATCTGTTAAATCTTAGAACTTCACGTGACTGGTCCATGTTGCATACCCCTCTCATCCACATTCTTGATACTGACTGAAAAGGCTAGTTTTACTGGATATGCATGGTAGGTATTTGCCTTTTATGCTTTATAAAGATTTGTTGGATTAGACAACATATCCTGTTTTGTAGAAGCAGGCAAGCTTGGCAAGTAAAACAGAGTCACCCCCCACACACAATTTTGCACACGTATATGTACATGTGTGGGTGTGCATGTGCCATGGATTATGTTGTGAGGTCAGAGGAGAACTCACTAGAATTGGTTCTCTCTACCCTCTTGGTCTTGAGGTTGTCACATCTGGCGACAAGGGCCTTTACCTGCTGAGCCCTCTAATTGGCCCTATTTATATATTTGTTTATAACTAAGATTAATATGAAATAGAAAACTATAAAGTGTTTGCCAGTCATTTGTCCTTAGGAGTTATATTAATTTCATTGATGTAGGAGACAGAAGTTCTTTATTTTTCTTGTTGAACATTTTCTTTGCTCCCCTTTGAATTTTTCTGTAGCTTACCAGTCATCTCGGGCTCAGTTGGACAGTATGCCGAGGCTTTTTCACTTATAAACAGGAACTTATTAGAAGAAAATTGTCATACCTATTTCTAAAAAAGTAAAATTGAAATATTTTGTCCTAAATTATACCTTCGGTATTTGGATAATAATAATAAAAGGAACATTGAACCTAGTAAATTATATTTTAAGTTTTCCTTAACTGATTTTGTTCAATGCAAGCATTATTTAAACCATTTAAGTTTTTACTTCTATAGTTCATATGAAGTACATTGAATGTTCCTTTTATTATTCATGACATTTATCAACCCTCTATTATGTGCTAGGTACTTTACATTATACCAAGGATTAAGCTTATGTCACAGCAAAATAAGGGATAGTGTCAAGAATATCTTTAAATGAAAGGCTTGCTATTTACTGAATAGGTCTTCCACTCAATTTTGGAGCTTCAGTTTATGTTTATCACCAGTGTATGAAAGTACTATATAGAATTACTGAATAAATTAAATGAAAATGAAGAGATGTTACTGCTCAGTGATTAGTTTGCTACTCAGCTTAAAAATAATGAAGCATATGAAAAAATCAATTGATAATATACTTAGAATCACTAGTTAGAATCAGATTTTATTGTTTATCAATAGTATGCCTGTGCAGATGATGCTGTAGTCTAAAACTTCTGATTAGCCATGTGATTTTTGATTGTTATTAAAAAGCTACCTATTGGGGCTGGAGAGATGGCTCAGTGGTTAAGAGCACTGACTGCTCTTGCAGAGGACCCAGGTTCAAATCCCAGCACCCACATGTTGGCTATGAACCGTCCTTAACTCCAGTTCCAGGGGAACCTGAAGCCCTCTTCTGACCTCCGCGGGCATTCCACGATTTTTATGTGTATGTGTGTATTGCCTGCACGTAGGTAAGTGCACCCCTGTCGTGCAATGCCTGTGGAAGGTTCTCATTTTTAATTGGTCTGATAGCATTGTGCCACCTAGTGGAAATATATGTCCTTTAGGCTGTCTCTGACTGAAATTCCAGATGTGTTTGATCATTAAAATACTTTGAAGGTTTGGCCTTTGTTAGTTGACTTGGAATTCCTTAGAACAGTATTGTTTTGTTAAAGCAAGAGTTTATCACATGAAATTCCTAGTAAATTAGTGCTTAATAGATACCTCAAATTATAAGCTCCTGGATTAAAAATCTGTTCTTTCTCATGAAGAAATATCTTTATAATCTTCTTAATCTTTGAAACTTTAGCCCAAGTATTTTTCCACTAGTCAGTATTTATTTATTTACTTATTTATTTGGTATTTTTGAGACAGGGTCTCCCTCTCTGTAGCTCTGGGTGTCCTGGAACTCACTATGTAGACCAGGCTGAGGAACTCACAGAGATCTACCTGCCTCTAGGCATGCGCCACCACACCCAGCTCACTAGTTAGTATTTAAATGTTGCTGTGTGGCTCAGTGGTATTTCCCATTGCCCGTAGAGTTTTCTGGTTTAAATACAGTTTTTCAGTGTCATTTATACAATTTAGGCTTATTTTGTCTTAACAGAAGGAAAGTATGAAGTGATTAGTATTAGTGAAATGGCCCAGTGGACAGACGTGCCACTTAGCACGAGTAGCTTAGGGTTACCTTTGAAGAACTCTTACAAAGACACAGGACAAATTTTTGCTTGTGTTTTGCCTGTATAAATAAGATACAACTGCTGGGCGTGGTGGTTCCCGCCTTTAATCCCAGCATTTGGGAGACAGAGGCAGGCGATCTCTGTGAGTTCCAGGCCAGCTGGGGCCATAGGAGAAACCTGTCTTGATGGTATCTTATTAAATATAATTTCTTTTGTAATCTGTGTGTTGAGACATAGTCTTGCTCTGTGCTCAGACTGGCCTGGAACTTGCTATGTAGACCAGGCTTGTCTAGAACCCTTAATCTTTCTGTTTCAGCCTTCTGAGTACTGGAATATAGGCCTACACTGATGTGCCCAGCTAAGATCCCTTGTTCTTTGTGAGATAATCACCATGTACATTTTTGGTAGGACTCATAACATTTCTGTCTTGAGGTTGGTTATTCTGCATGATTAAAGTAAAGCATGAACCCCAAGTTGGTTTTCCATATACTAATTTATAATAAATGTACACAGAGAAAGTACTTCTGAATTACAGGATGCAGCCACTCTGTTGTCTGACACCTTGGTAGAAAGTGTGTATTTTAGTGCTTTATCTTGTTACTATTCTTTCTTAGTTGCTGATCTGTGTTCAAGATGAGTGGATTAAGTGAGAACTCCTTGGACCCACTGGCGTCTGATTCACGAAAACGCAAATTGCCTTGTGACACTCCGGGACAGGGGTAGGTGATTTATCTCCAGATGCTTCACTGGAGCTCCTTCTCTTTTGTTTGATTTTGTGTAAAGGATAACATTTCAACTTTCTGTTACTTTTAAGATCATTTCCATTTATATACATGATTGTCCTTTATAGTGAGTACCTTGTTTCTGATGACAAAGATATCCTTAGATCTGAATCAGGTTTGATTTTGCTGATTTAAAGGAAGAGCATGATAGCAACTGGATAGTTTCCAGGATTTCTGAGCAGAATGTATAGGAATAGTGATAGTAAAAAGTAAAAATTTTTTAAAACTTTTAAGAATACAAGTTCATATTTTAGCATTTGTAACTATACATTTAGAAGTCAGAAAAAAATTACTGTAATTTGTTGGTCAGGCTGGCACACGCTTTAATCCCAGCACTCAGTGGCAGAGGCAGGCAGATCTCTGTGAGATGGAGGCCAGCCCGGTCTGCATAGCAAGTCCAGGCCAGTTGGGGCTACAGGGAGACCCTGTCTCAAAAAGACAAAACAAAAGCAAAAACCCTGTAACTTATACAGTGCTGCTTTAGGGTTTAAGGTCAGTGCCATTGAGTTTTACTTTCTTTTTTTTTTTTTGTCTTTTTTGAGACAGGGTCTCCTTGTAGCCCCAGCTGTCCTGGAACTCATTATGTAGATCAGGCTGGCCTCGAACTCACAAAGATCCGCCTGCCTGCCTCCGGAGTGCTGGGATTAAAGGTGTGCGCCAAATGCCTGGCAAGTTTTACTTTCATGGTGGACAAAAACCCCTACAGTTTATCAAATGTCCATAAGTACTTGTTTTTACTGTTATTTGACAGTTCTTAACTCTATGTTGAGAAGATTATCCCTGATTTCCAGATGAAGGAATTTATGTTAGCTTTTCTCAAAGAAAGCCACATGGCTAATGAGATGTGGAATTGAACATAGACTTGCATGTCTGTTATGCTGCTTTTCCGCTACCATGTTCTGATAGTTCTGTTGGCTGAGTTTAGTTTGTTTCTACATGAAACTAATGGTGTAGAGGGAGGATCTGCGCAAGCTTCCTTTAGGGGTTTGCACTGTGACCTCTTCTCCCTCTTTAGTCTTGCCTCTAGTGCTGAGAAGTGGAGACGAGAGCAGGAGAGCAAGTACATCGAAGAACTGGCTGAGCTGATATCTGCAAATCTTAGTGATATCGACAATTTTAATGTCAAACCAGATAAATGTGCAATTTTAAAGGAAACAGTGAGACAGATACGTCAAATAAAAGAACAAGGTAATACAAAGTAAGAAAAACACCCATTTTTTTTGGAAGGAATTTCTAGTATGTGTAAAGCCCCCCTTTTTGTGCTAAAAAGAGTTTAAACCCAGGGTCTCACTCATGTTAAGCATAGGTTCTATTGCTAAGCTAGATCCCAAAGCCCCATCAGTTGACCAGCTTTGCTTTATAGAAAAACATAATTAAAATAAGAGACCAGTATTGCTCACCATGTCAAAGGTTGATTTAATGGAAGCCAGGGACTAAATACTAAGTACGTTTAGTAGGGAAAGAAAAGGTAAAGTGTCTTCTGCCTTTCTGGACAAAAGTAAAGTTTAATATTTTTAAGTTGTGGTATTCTCTTACCAAGAAATGTTCGTATGTATATGTGTGTCCATGGCCCCCTCTCTCTGTGTATGTGTCTTTGAGCCTATTCTGAGGACTGACTGACTGTTAGAAGGTGAATTAATCTGTTACTGAAATATGTGCTATTTATAATGTTGCCTTCTGCACCTTTAGGAAAAACAATTTGCAGTGATGATGATGTTCAGAAAGCTGATGTGTCTTCTACAGGACAGGGAGTTATTGATAAAGACTCTTTAGGACCACTTTTACTTCAGGTAAGTGTAAAATTGTAGCACTTCAAGTATTAATAATAGTCCAAAGGGTGTTGTACTTTGGTTGTATTACTATGTGATGCATTTTTTTGGGAGGTGCTGGAGAAAATGAAAATCAAAAGAAAATACAGAACTAGTATTTTTATTATACTTGTAAAATACTTGTATTGGCAATATAATTCAGGAGCCCCTTCTCCTTACTCAAAATATAGTTGCAAATTGAGAAAGTCCACACATAAAGGTATAAAAATAAGCAGTTGAGGAAGGGAGTCATAACTTCGCAGAGGTCCCTTGGAGCTTGAGAGGAAATATTTTGCCTGCATGTATGTATGTGCACCGTGTGCATATGGTGTCTGTGGAGGCCAGAAGAGTGCATCAGATCCCATGCACCTGGAGTTTCAGCAATTGTGAGCTGCCATGTAGGTGCTAGGAACAAAACCTGAGTCCTCTGCTAGAGTAGCAGTGGCTCTTAACTGCTGAGCCATTTCTCCAGCCTCTCTTTTTACTTTTTATAATCCCTATAATAACGATGCTAATGTTAATAGAAATGATGGTTTGTAGTTGTTCACTGAAACTGTTAAATCAGTGTTTTTTTCTTCAAGTTTTATTTACAACTAGGGCTGCTGTCTTAGTCTTGGAGTTCTGGATGCTGGAAGTCCAAGATTGAGGTGTTGGGAGGATTCATTCTCCTGAGTCCCTCTCCTTGGTTTGTTACTGTGTTCTCACATGGCCTTTTCTCTGAGTGTGTGTCCCTGGTGTCTTTTTAGTCTCTCCTTATAAGGACATGTCATATTGAGTTAGGGTCCTCTTATACTTAATTACCTCCTTAAAGGCTATGTCTGTGAGGTCACGTTGAGTATAAGTGTTTCAACATGTACCTTTTGGGGGTCTTCATAACAACTTATTTTAATCTGTTCTATTTTAGGCATTGGATGGCTTCCTGTTTGTGGTGAATCGAGATGGAAACATTGTATTTGTGTCAGAAAACGTCACACAATATCTGCAATATAAGCAGGAGGACCTGGTTAACACAAGTGTCTACAATATCTTGCATGAACAAGACAGAAAGGATTTCCTTAAACACTTACCAAAATCCACAGGTAGTTGCTTTTCTTTCTCTATTTTGTTTACTTTTCTTTTAGAGAGATACAGGGTCTCACTCTAGCTGTAGTTAGTCCAAGCTGGCCTTGAATTCATGATCCTTCTGTTTCTGCTTCCTGAGTGCTGGAATTATAGGTATGTAATGATATACCTGTCTACAGGTATGTTATGAATGTGTATTTTCTAAATATGGTTACTTTTTTCCCTTGAGTAGTTCTTTTAAAAATTGAATGAACTTTTTAAGAAGCCAGGAGCTGAAACTTACACAGAAGGGTATGATTATCAGCAAAATTTTCAAATACGACCCCAGGAAACTCAGAATTTAGCATATGTTTCATGGGTCCCAAATATTCAGAGGGACTTCTGATGAAGTTAATTCAGATAGTTTGTATATTGTCATTCTGAGATGTTAATACAGGTATTACCATAGGAAATTTGTGTGGTGAGGATTTCTCTCTTTTTTTTTTTCTTGATAAAAGCTCTCACTTAGACTCCTGGGCTCAGACTGTCCTCTCGTCGCAACCTTCTGAATAGCTGAGCCATCAGTGCACCCCACTGTTTTTTAAATTTTTATTTTTGAGACAGGGTCTCACTTGCTATGTGAGACCAGGCTGACTTCGAACTCACAGAGATCTGCCTGCCTCTGCCTTCTGAGTGCTGGCATTAAAGGCGCATACCAGTATGCCTGGTTAGCTTAGATTCTTGATCATAGTTTTTGACTGAGTTTTACAAGATTTGCAAATAAAAAGAAAAATTTAATTTGTTTTCACAGTTAATGGGGTTTCCTGGACTAATGAGACCCAGAGACAAAAAAGCCATACATTTAATTGTCGTATGCTGATGAAAACAACACTTGATACTTTGGAAGACATGAATGCCAGTCCTGAAAACCGCCACCGATACGAAACAATGCAGTGCTTTGCCTTGTCTCAGCCGAGAGCTATGATGGAGGAAGGGGAAGGTGAGCACAATCACATTTGCAGTGTTGGTAAGCCATAGCAGCTAAACTATCTTTTTTTTGGGGGGGGAGGGGGTCTTTTTTGAGATGGGGTCTCCCTGGAGCCCCAGCTGGCCTTGAACTCAGAGATCTGCCTGCTTCTGCCTCCTGAGTGCTGGGATCAAAGGTGTGCCCCACATCTTGCATTTTTTTTTTTAAAATTGTTTCCTTAGGCGTGCACCACCATACCTGGCTTTTTAAAAAAATTGTTTCTTTTTCATTAATTTTAGAAAATTTATGTGTTTGAGTGTTTTGCCTGCATATATCTAAGTGCACCACGTGTGTGTAATGCCTGCAGCGACACGGAGGCAGCCTTGGATTCCCTGGAACTGGAGTTACTAATGGTTGTTGGTCACCATGTCAGTGCTGGGAACTGAACCTGGGTCCTCAGCAAGAGCAGCCAGTGCTCTTAACCACTGAGCCATCTCTCTAGCCCTGCAAACTGACGCTCAAAATGTCATGTCTGCTGTGACTGGTCTTTAATGTTCATGTTCTTGCTCACCTATTGAATAATCATATCCAAAAGTGATCCTATGTGGTTGAACTTTCTGTTGTAGACTTACAATCCTGTATGATCTGTGTGGCACGCCGCATTACTACAGGAGAAAGAACATTTCCATCAAATCCCGAGAGCTTTATTACTAGACATGATCTTTCAGGTAAAAGCCGTATGTGTGTCTTTACTTTAGAAATTGTCCTAAAAGTTTTGTTTTTTAGAGTTTTAAAATTCCCTGTTATAATTGTTATTTTCCTTCCCTCTAGTCATTTTTCCCCATTAATAAGAGTATTCATCAGCTTACTGGTAGTGCACCTGCTAGCCTGCATAAGGCCCTAGGTTCAGTTCTTCCCCACCACCCTGTCATCTCCTCACCTGGCTTTGAATTTGAAATGACTTGGACTGATGCTCAGATTCCACATTAGTTTTTCTCATTTTCAGTAACTTCTAGAACTACCTTTTGCTTTAACTCTCCAATACTTTGTCAGTCTGAAGTTGGCTTTTATCAGCATTTTTACTTTTCTTAAAGAAATATGGAGAAGATGAGTTGCTAAGTCTTCTGTTTGGAATCAATTTGCTGATTACTTTTTTGAAGTCATTGTACCTGTTGAGTCACAGTTTCATTGTCTTCAGGATTTGGTAGCCTGGTTGGTGCTGAGCAGTTTCCTTGATCAAAATATTATATGTGTTTTTTTTTTTTTCCTCTAGTCTTTTTGAGTCAGGGTCTCGCTGTACCCCCAGCTGGTCTGGAATTGACTATGTAGACCAGGCTAGCCTTGAACTCACAGAGATCCACCTGCCTCTTCCTCCTGAGTGCTAGGATTAAAGGTGTGCGCCACCACTCCTGGCCTAAAATATTATGGTTTTTAGTAAAACCTGCACAAGATATACAAATAAATATTGGCAGTCTTGACATCAAAATGAGCTTCAATTAGTTTGCCAGTTTTTTATTATGTTGAACACATTTTGTTCTGAGCATTATCTCTACTATAGAAACTGGTCACACAGCTTTTGGAAATCTTCAGTAATTAGTTTGAATGAAACATCATCTTGCAGATCAGTAAGACTCACTTAGAACCCCCACCCCCTCCCGCAACATCCAGGCCCTTTTCAGGTATTCATCTTTCCTAGGACTTCTATGTGTTCATCAAATTTGTTTCAGAGTTTGTTTATTATTTTTATTTTATGGGTATGAGTGTTTTTCCTGTAATATATTAAGTGCACCACATGCATGCAATGATCTCAGATGCCAGAAGAGAGCATCGGATCACCTGGCACTGGAGTTATGGATGGTTGTTAGCCACTATGTAGGTGCTGGGAACCAAACCTGGGTCTTCAGGAAGAGTAGCCAGTGTTCTTTAGCCACTGAACCATCTCTCCAATCTGTTACAAAGTTTTAATAGTCTCCCCAAGCTCTTCCTGGTACCGACAGATGAAATTACTCTTTCTGGTGGCTAGTTGTATGCAGAAGCTATCTATGAGGGTTACCTTAAATCACTCCATTAGAACACTCAAAGGTGGTCAGAGAGGCATCTTTTAAATCCTTGAAAGATATAGTTACTAGAAAATTATAAGCATTTTAGGAGTTCTGTACCAGAATTTAGATGGCAACAAATACACTGTTTTATTTCACAGTAGGACATACAGATAGATGCGAGATCATTTCCCCCAACTATGTGTTAAGGATAGAAGACGAGAAATTTGGATCAGAAGAGACAGAGTAAAGATTTAATTCATTTTATTTCATTCTCCAGTGCTAAGCCAGGGGTAAGTAGCAGTAAATACTTGGCAGGTGGGACTCAATTTTTTTTTTTTTTAATCTTTAATAGGAAAGGTTGTCAATATAGATACAAATTCACTGAGATCTTCCATGAGGCCAGGCTTTGAAGATTTAATCCGAAGGTGTATTCAGAGATTCTTTAGTCTGATTGATGGGCAGTCATGGTCTCAGAAACGTCACTATCAGGAAGGTAAGGGCACTTGGAGATTCTTGGTCTTGATTGTTATGTTGATGATGCTGTAAAATACTAAGTATGCAAACAGGTCCTGTTATCTTGTAGATATGGGAGAGGAAAATGATCTCTGGCATATTTTATTTATAATTTTTGTGCGTGTACACATGGTTTATAAAACTGTATTAGAAGTATGATTCCTTCCTGTCTTTACAGAGAGTAGTAATGGTATATTTTTGTCCAATAGCCTATATTCATGGACATGCAGAAACCCCAGTGTATCGCTTCTCGTTGGCGGATGGAACTGTTGTAAGTGCACAGACGAAAAGCAAACTCTTCCGCAATCCTGTGACAAATGATCGTCATGGCTTTATCTCAACTCACTTCCTTCAGAGGTAATGAGAGCTTGCTCTGCATTCATACCACCTTGTGCACATTCTCAGGACGCTTCGTTATTGATGCGCAAAGGAAGAAAAGGCAGGGAAGTTGTTGGATTTGGTGAAATGAATTTAGTCTTAGAATGTTTTCTTTAAAGTTATATTTTTATGTAAAAGTATTTTCCGCTAAATAATTGCTTCCTGGAAAAGATGGGAGGGGGCAGGAAGGCTAGTGGATAAAGGAGCATATGAAATCTGGTTATTTCTGTACTTTCATCTCTGATAATGTATTTATTGCTTCTAGGGACTAGATTTAAAATTAAAAATAAAATATTGCCAGGTGTGGTGGCGCACGCCTTTAGAGAGGCAGAGGCAGGCGGATCTCTGTTGAGATCAAGGCCAGCCTGCTCAACATAGTTCCAGGCCAGCTGGGGCTACAGGGAGACCCTGGCTCAAAAAGAACCCCCCTCCAAAAAAAATTAAGGGCAGTAACTATTGTGTCATTGATGGTAAATGAACAGCTTATAAGGAAGATGTTGCCCATTGATGATCTTGAGGAATTTGTACATGCTTCCAGATTAAAGCTTAGACATGTGGCAGCTGTAGTAAGGCCTCTGAGATTATAGATAATGTGGCTATTGGAGCTACACAGTGCTAGTGTCACTCACTTGAATTCCCTGGCTTATTAAAAAATGTCGAGTGAGGGGTTAGGGATTTAGCTCAATTGGTAGAATTCTTGCATAGCATGCAGGAAGTGTTAGGTTTGATTCCTAGCATCCTCTAAACTGGTGCACTCCTATTATCCCAAGACTTGGGAAGTGGAGGCAGGAGGATATGTTTAAAGCCAGCTTCCATTTCATAGTGAATTCAAAGCTACCTTAGACTGCATGAGACTTACCTCAAAAAACAAAATAAAACAAAAACACACATTAAGAAAAACCAAACGGGCTGGAGAGATGGCTCAGCAATTAAGAGCACTGGCTGTTCTTGCAGAAGACCTGGGAACAAATCTCAGCACCCAAATGGTAGCTAACAAACTGTCTATAACTCTAGTTCCAGGGGATCTGAAGCCCTCTTCTGTCCTCTGCAGCCATTGTACAACATGGGTGTACTTACATACATGCAGGCAATACACATACATGTATCAAAAAAAAAAAAAAAACCAAAAAAACCCCAAACCCCAGAAATGCCAGGTGTGGTGAACTCTGTGAGTTCGAGGCCAGCCTGGTCTACATAGTGAGTTCCAGGACCGCTGGGGCTACAGGGAGACCCTGACTCAAAAAAACAAAAAAACCCCAAACCCCAGAAATGCCAGGTGTGGTGAACTCTGGGAGTTCGAGGCCAGCCTGGTCTACATAGTGAGTTCCAGGACAGCTGGGGCTACAGGGAGACCCTGACTCAAAAAAACAAAACAAACAGAAACAAAACGGGCTAGAGAGATGGCTTTGCTGGTTAAGAGCATTGGCTGCTTTTGCTGAGGACCCAGGTTGGGTTCCCAGCCCCCCACATGCTGGTTAACAGTCACCCATAACTCCAGTTCCAGGGGTCCTGATGCTGTCTTCTGGTCTCTGTGGGCATTGCATCTATGTGCATATAGACTATACACTCACACACATAAAATAAAAATAATAAATAAAATTGAAAACAAACATTAAACTCTTAGTCAGGCCTTGTGATGTAGGCTTGTAATCCCATTGTGTGGGAGACTGAGACAAACAGGATCGCACGTTCCAAGGCCTGCATGGATTAAAGAGTGAGTTGAAGTACAGCTTGGATAACTTAATGCGAAGGTCTCAAAGCAGAAAGAGGGCTGGGAATATAGCTCAGTGTTAGGCTTAGTATCTGTGAGATTTTGGGTTCAGTATCTCATACCATACAAAAAGAAGAAAAAAGTATTGCTAGGTTAGCTTTGTGGTCAGTACCTAAATTGATTTGTCACTAGTTATTATAATGGCACTTAAAGGAAGTTATATTCCTTGGCAGTTTTTTCTCCCCTTCCGTTCCCTCCACTTTATGTAATCCTTGTGTCTCTTTGCAGAGAGCAGAATGGGTATAGACCAAACTCAAATCCTATGGGACAAGGCATTCGACCTCCTGCAGCAGGATGTGGCATGAACATGTCCCCAAACCAAAGCTTACAGATGCTAGGCAACAGGACCTATGGCTTGGCAGACCCCAGCAACACAGGGCTGATGAGTGGAGCCAGGTATGGGGCTTCTGGTAACATAGCCTCACTGACCCCTGGGCCAGGCATGCAGTCTCCATCTTCCTACCAGAACAGCAACTATGGACTCAGCATGAGCAGCCCTCCTCATGGCAGTCCTGGTCTTGGCTCCAACCAGCAGAATATCATGATTTCTCCTCGGAATCGTGGCAGCCCAAAGATGGCCTCACACCAGTTTTCTCCTGTTGCAGGTATTCACATTAACATTTCTTTTTCTTTGGGTTTTTTATCCATACCACTGTCATTCTTACCAAGTTAATTTTTATCATTAAAAACTTTGAAGTAGTGTTTTCTTAAGTGCCAGTCTAATTCTCGTCTTAATTTTTCTAAATCCAGGTGTGCATTCACCCATGGGATCTTCTGGCAATACAGCGAGCCACAGCTTTTCCAGCAGCTCCCTCAGTGCCCTGCAAGCCATCAGTGAGGGTGTGGGAACTTCTCTTTTATCTACCCTCTCTTCACCAGGCCCCAAATTGGATAATTCTCCCAATATGAATATGACTCAACCAAGTAAAGTGAGCAATCAGGAGTCCAAGAGCCCCCTGGGCTTATACTGTGACCAGAATCCGGTGGAGAGTTCAGTGTGCCAGTCAAACAGCAGAGAACACCTTAGTGACAAAGAAAGTAAAGAAAACAGCGGGGAAGGGTCAGAGAATCAAAGGGGTCCTTTGGAAACCAAAAGTCATAAAAAATTGCTGCAGTTACTCACCTGTTCCTCTGATGACCGAGGTCATTCATCCTTGACCAACTCCCCTCTGGATTCAGGTTGCAAAGACTCTTCCATTGGTGTCACCAGCCCCTCTGGAGTCTCCTCCTCGACTTCAGGAGGAGTGTCTTCCACTTCCAATGTGCATGGGTCTCTGTTGCAAGAGAAGCATCGGATTTTGCACAAGTTGCTGCAGAATGGCAACTCACCAGCAGAAGTTGCCAAGATTACTGCAGAAGCCACTGGGAAGGACACTAGCAGCACAGCTTCTTGTGGTGAAGGAAATGTCAAGCAGGAGCAGCTGAGTCCTAAGAAGAAAGAGAATAATGCCCTTCTCAGGTACCTGCTGGACAGGGACGATCCTAGTGATACGCTTGCTAAAGAACTACAACCCCAAGTGGAAGGAGTTGATCATAAACTGAGTCAGTGCAGCAGCTCCACCAATCCTGGCTCAAGTCAAGAGAAAGACCCTAAAATTAAGACAGAGACAAATGAAGAGGTAATTTATTTTTTCTCTCTTCCAGCTCTGTCACTCTGTTCTCTCATTTTTGTATTAGAAAAATAATGCGATACACACAGATTGTTATATTTTAATTTAAGGTTTATTTAAGGGTTATCTTGAACTTCCATTTCTCTGTAATTTTTTTGGCTCTCAGTAAAGTATTATGGAATTTAGAAGTTTCAGATGTGTATTTTCTAAAATGCGACTTTAATTCTTTTTAAAGGCATTTAAAATCTTAAATTGGTGTGTATGAATGAATGAATGAATGAGTGAATGAATGAATGAATGAATGCCACAGTGTGTGTGTGAGGGTCAGAAACAACCTTAGGGATTCTGTTCTCCCTTTCCACTGGGGGATCTTGGGATTGACTTCAGGTTGTCCAGTTTGCTTGGCAACTGCCTTTACCCTCAGAGCCATTTTGCCAGCACTATGATCATGTAACTTTTTTAGTGGGCAGTTTGAAGCTTTTCATGTAAGTGCTTATGTTGGAATGAGTAGATTGGGTGGCGAAGGGCATGGTAGAAGTTATTTCGGGAAAAAAGTTCAAATTAAACAGCATAATCTTGGATTTTCCCCTAATAGTTAAGTATTCATGCATATGATTGAATTCTGTGAAAGCATCTCTCAAACTTAGGAGAAGTACAGAAAGGAAATGAGAAGACTTAAAGAAATTTCAGTTAGGTTGTAGATTTGCTTAATCTAGTATTCACCAAATTTAGAGACTGGAGTCCTTTTTAGAACATGCCTGTGAGTACCTTATTGAACATCAGCTTGTCACTTAATAGATTCAAGTTTCTGTCAGCTAAGGATGACCCTCCATCAGTGACAGTTAGTGGGGAAATAGTGTCAGGGCAAAAATGTCTCATTAGAAAGTATCAAATTCAGTGATTTACCGTAGTCATTAAGCTGTGCTTTGAAAGGGGGAAGATGGTGGAGGGGTCATAGGAAAACAGCCTTTGAGGTAGCCATCATTATTTCAAGTTAACTGCTGTCTTTTGTTCTTTTTTATGTTTCTTCTGATGAATATATTGATAGCTGCATACCTAGTATTCAGGATCATTTAAACAAGTTTATTTTCAGGTATCTGGAGACTTGGATAATCTAGATGCTATTCTTGGTGATCTGACTAGTTCTGACATTTACAACAATCCTGTATCTACAAATGGCAGTCATCCAGGGACCAAGCAACAAATGTTTGCAGGATCTGATTCTCTGGGTAAGGAACAACCAGAGTTTTTCTTTTTTGAGGGAAGAGGTGGGGTAGAGGAGGTTGAGACATGGTCTTGCTGACCATGGAGTTCCAGGCTGGCCTGGCACTCAGCATCCTCCTATCTCCAACTCAGCAGTACTGGGATTATAGACCATGCCATTACCAGCTGCTATATTTGTTTTTGGAAACATAGTTGCATGTACTCTTACAGGAAGACAAGGGTCACTTGTAACTTCAAAACACATATTCTGAATTTCAGTTTTTTTTTTAAATTTTATTTTGGTTTATTATTTTATATGTATGATTGTTATACATGTATGATTGTTATGCCTACATGTATGTAAGTGCATCCATGTCGTACAGTGCTTGAGGAGGCCAGAAGAGGGCATTGGATCCCCTGGAACTAGAGTTACAGATGGTTATTAGCTGCCATGTGGGTGCTGGGATTCAAACCCAGGTTTTCTCCTAGAACAGCCAGTGGCTCTTAACCGCTTAGCCATCTCTCCAGCCTTTTGTTTTGTTTTTGTTTTTTGAGATAGGGTCTCACTATATAGCTCCAACTGGCCAGGAACTCACTATATAGACCATTCCAGGCTGGCCTCATTCCACAAAGGTCTGCCTGCCTCTGCCTCCACCTCCCAAACACTGGGATTAAAAGCATGTACAACACCTGACTGACTTGTCAGTTTCTTATACTTATGGGTTAGCTATTTTCCTGTTCTTTCCTCTTTTTTAAAAAATAACATGTTTTGGCAGGGCGTGTTGGCACATGCCTTTAATCCCAGCACTTGGAAGGCAGAGGCTGGTGGATCTCTCTGAGTTTGAGGCTAGCCTGGTCTACATAATGAGTTCCAGGCCAGCTGGGACTACAGGGAGACCCTGTCTCAAAAATACTGCCCCCCCCAAAATTACGTGTTTTGTAGTATGTGTGTATGTGCATGCATGTGCGCATGTGTATGCCATGGCAAATGTGTGGTCAGAGGACAATTTGTCGCTCCCTTCCCCCTTGTGGATTCTGGGGATGAAACTCAATTTTTAGCTTGGCAGCAGGTATCTTTTACCTGCTGAACCATCCTGCTGCTGGTCCCTTTTATTGTTTAAAATTCTCCTTTCTAATTAATGTGTCAGTAACCATGACACAGAATCCATATCTGGGTACTGTGGCAGATGTTTTTCTTAGCTTCAGAAAATTGGATTAAAAAACCCAAACTAGATTAAATACTCATTGTTCCATTGTTTGTGCTTAAGGAATCATGTGTGTGTGTATGTGTGTGTGTGTGTGTGTGTGTGTGTGTGTGTGTGTGTATGTGTGTCTGTCTGACTGTCTTTTTGAGACAGGGTCTCTTTATAGCCACAGCTGGCTTGGAACTCACTATGTAGACCAGGCTGGCCTTGAACTCACAGAGATCTGCCTACTTCTGCCTCCCAAGTGCTGGGATTAAAGGTGTGCGCCACCTCGAAGAATCTTATTTAACCATGAGAATTTTCTTCATTGTTGTTCTCCTGGTCTTTACGAAAACTCTTCCCTGTTGAAATATGTTTACTCAGCACTTTCTCAAGGGTTTGTTGTATCAGCTAAAAAAGAATAATTTATAGTTATCTAGAATAGTAGTTACTGATTTTCACTTGTACTGTGTGATAAACTGAAATAGATCAGTCACATAGGTTGGAAAAATGAAAAAGGTTAGGAGTAAAATTCACACTTCATTTTCTGTTTGAAAAGCAACTTAACTATTTACATTTATTGTAAATTTGTAAACTGAGAATGTGCTTATGTATAATATGTTAAAATCTCCAGGATTTTAAAACATTAGAGAATTTTCTTCATCTTTCTTCATGGTGCTAGGGATCTGATCCCAGGGCCTCATGCATATTAATTAAACATGTGCTCTGCCACTGGGCTGCAGGTCAGCTGTTTCCAGTGTGAAGTAGAGCACGGCAGATGACCATATTTGGCTACAGAAGCATGTCTGGCACTTCAGTAAATGCTCGATTATTGTTTCTACTTTATTTGGAATTCAGGCTTTTTCTTTTTCTTTTTTGGCTTAAGAGTTTATTTTGTAAAGGAAGACGACTGGTTGTTTTTGTGAGAAAGACATTTTTGTGTGGGGATTGGTGGCGTTTGTTTCTTGCACTGGATTATTTAAATACATGCATTGTGCTCCTGTGTTTTCAGCAGGTTTGAGAAGTCCACAGCCTGTGCTCTCTGTTCGTCCTCCATACACCCGAGCAGTGTCTCTGGATAGCCCGGTTTCTGTTGGCTCAAGCCCTCCAGTAAAGAATGGCAATGCTTTCCCCATGTTACCAAAACAACCCATGTTGGGTGGGAATCCAAGAGTGATAGAGAGTCAGGAAAATTATGGAGCAAATATGGGTAGGTTATTTCTAGTTAGTGATTGTGATAAAACATTTATTTGAGAAAAGTACATTTAAAATACTGAATGCTATTTAAATATTGCGATCAAGTAATGTTTAAAAAATACAGTATTTCTTTTTATAGATGTTTCTCATTCAGTCTAGGTGTTGATTTTCTAAATTCTTAATAATCTATTGGTTTACGAGATTTTTCTAAGCTGTAATGATTATATGGGAATAGTGGCTTATACACTCTTTGTAGTTGGCCTGTTCTTAGGATGGCAGAGTGCTGTGTGCTATCCACTCTTGTGGCGCTGTCCATGTAGGAAGGATTCTGTTATGTGGTAGGAAAACCCTGATGATTTCTACCTATTTTAGCTGGACCAAACAGAAATGTTCCTGTGAACCAGACCCCTTCCTCAGGAGACTGGGGCTTAGCAAACTCAAAGACCAGCAGAATGGAACCTATGAGTTCAAATTCCATGGGAAGACCGGGAGATTACAGTGCTTCTTTACCAAGAACTGCCACAGGGAGCTCAGTGCCTACCTTGCCACTTCGATCCAATAGAACCCCAGGTGCAAGGCCAATGCTGCAGCAGCAGCAAATGCTTCAAATGAGTGAGTTGTCCCTTTCATTAAGAATTGCGTGTTTTATGGTAATTTTTACTATTGGCTTATTTGAAAATTCTTACTCTCGTTTTGCTTCTCCAGGGACTGGTGAGGTTCCCATGGGAATGGGGGTCAATCCCTATGGCCCAGCGGCACCATCTAATCAACCAGGCTCCTGGCCAGAGGGCATGCTGTCTATGGAACAAGGTCCACATGGGACTCAAAATAGGTAGGGCTTAATTTTGTGACTGTAGGAAATACTAGCATTAGATTTAAAAGTCTGAACAGGAACAATTCTGAAAGACAATGTGAAAAACTGTCTATAATTGAGATAAATGGTTGCCATCTGCTGAAGCAGCAAGCTGTGGAAGGAGACAGAACTGGACAGTTTATCTACACAGTTCACCTATTAAGACTGTTCTGTGCCTAGACTTCCAAGGGCTTTTCTGAACACGACTGTCTTCATAGTGATAATCTCCTGAGCAAGGGAATAAATTAGCAACAATTGGTAAGGACATGTTTTCACTGGTTTTATAAGAGATGTTCAGCAGAGGGTATGCATCAGTGTCTCTGAAAATAAATTAAAAAAAAAATATATATATATTTTGAGACAGGGTCTCCCTGTAGCTGCAGCTGTCCTGGAACTCACTATATGGACCAGGCTGGCCTTGAACTCACAGAGATCAGCCTGCCTCCGCCCCCGAGTGCTGGGATTAAAGGTGTGCGCCACCATGCCTGGCTCTTACTACCTTTTTTAAAAAAATTGTTTTTAAATTTGTATGTGTGTGCGTGTGTGCACATGTGTACTAGAGCACACATGACAGAGGACAACTTTTGGGAGTTGGTTTTTGTCTCCTACCACTTCGTGGAGCAGGGGGCCTTTATTGTTGCTGGCACTTCACATCACACTCCAGGCTAGCTGGCAACAAGCTCCAGGCTGATTCTCTTGTCTCTGTCTCCTGTATTGCCATGGGTATTGCAGGATTACAGATTTGTGCTATTGCTTCTGAGTTTTTACATGGGTTCCAGGGATTGAAATCAGGTTGTCAGCCTTGTGGGACAAATACTTTTACTCACTGAGCCATCTCCCTGGCCCCTTTGTGTGCGGTTGCTCACATCTGCGATTTCAGGGCTCAGAATTTGAATAACCTCATCTGCTGTTCTGCTTTATACACCAGACCACCTTATGAAAGGTGCTGTTCACAAATGTGTTTTTGAGGGGACTGGAGAGATGGCTCAGTGGTTAGAGCACTGGCTGCTCTTGGAGAGGACCCAGGTTCAATTCCCAGCATCTACATGATGGCTGACAACTGTCTGTAACTCCAGTTCCACAGAATCCGACGCCCACTTCTGACCTCCATAGGCGTTGCACGACACAGGTGCACTTACATGCAGGCAATACATGCATACACATAAAATAAACATAATAAAAATAAAATATTTTTTATAAAAAATGTGTTTTGGGGACATTTTATAGTGGCTGTTGTTTTTTTTTTAAAAATTTTTATTTTCTGTGTATGCGTGTATTGTCTGCATGTAGGCAAATGCACCTGTGTCATGCAATGCTGGCAGAGGACAGAAGAGGCTGTTGGATCCTCTGGAACTGGAGTTAAAGACAGTTGTTAACTGCCATGTGGGTGCTGGGATTCGAACCCAGGTCTTCTGCAAAAACAGTCAGTGTACTGTTAACCGCTGAGCCATCTCTTCAGCCCCTAGTGGCTGTTTTTTAAAAAAATATTCTATTTTTGTGTATGAGTGTTTTCCCTACATGCATGTAAGTGTACCTGTGTCAACCAGTGTCTGTAAAGGCCAGAAGAGGGTGTTGGATACCCTGAAACTGGAGTTACAGATGGTTGTTAGCTGCCATGTGGATGTTGGGACCCAAACTAAGGCCCTCTATAAGAGCAGCCAGTGCTCTTAACTGCTGAGCCATCTCTCCAGCCCCAGTGGCTGTTTTTATTTACATGGTGCATGTAGGCATTGTGTGAGTCTCAACAGTAAGTAGGAGAGATTGGGGGATGTGAGTTTGAGGCCAAGACTTTTTCTCAAAAAAACTCAAAACCTAAATAAAGCAAAAGAAAGCAAGAATTATACTAAGAAAAGCTTTTCAGGACTGGAGAGATGGCTCAGCAGATAAGAGCACTTGTGGAGGACTAAGGTTTGGTTCCTAGCACCCACATATAATTCCAGTTCCAGGGGCTCCCATGCTCTCTTGAACCAATGCAGGCACTGCACCCATAGAATGTACACACAGTCTCCGTGGTTCAGGGAGTTGAGCCCAGTTCCTCACCAGTGTTAAACAAGCAACCTACCACTGAGAGTCCAACAGCATTAAAATTGAATGCAAATCTCTTTCGAGGCCTCTTCTTAGAAATTCCTTGGATGATCTCCTTGGGCCCCCCTCTAACCCAGAAGGCCAGAATGATGAAAGAGCACTGTTGGACCAGCTGCACACACTCTTAAGCAATACGGATGCTACAGGCCTGGAGGAAATTGACAGAGCGTTGGGTATCCCTGAACTTGTAAGTCAGGTAAGTTGCTGTTAATAAGGAAATAGACAGTATGTGCTTGTGAACATATTTGCATATTCATGAAGCCAGACACACAATTGCCTGTATGTATGCCTTCATACTACTTCTAAAGACAGTGCCTTTTTTGGTACTACATGTGTCACTGTATTCCTAGATGTCAACATTGAATTTAGAAATATACACTATGACGATACTGTTTCATAAAGTTGACACATTTTAGGCAAGAAATGATTGAATGAAGCAACTACATATTTTTTAAAATGCTACTTATTTTTATAGCTACTGTTCTTTGGTAAATAATGATTGTATGCCTAGGGGAGGCAGGCTGTTACTGTGTTAGTTTAAACAGACTAGTTATATTGGTAAATGTTCTGAATATCCTCATCGTCTGTTTCTATTTATATACTCATCTTAGGAAATATGCCATTCACAAATGTGTTTTTGAAACATGAATTTGGTAGTGGCTGCTTCTATTTAAACAGTATGTGCACAGTGTATAGATTTCTGCAACAGCAATAAACAGAATGGAGAGCTTCTCAGTTACTGTTAGGGAGATAGACATATACATAAGAAATCATGGGAATGTTGCAAACACAAAGAATTCTTTTAAAGGTTTATTTGTGTGTGTGTGTGTGTGTGTCTGTCTGTCTGTCTGTCTGTCGGAGTGTCTATGTGTATGCCTGTACCCACAGAGACCAGAAGAGGGCATTGCATCCTCTGGAGCTAGAGTTACAGGTGGTTGTGAGCTGTCTGACGTGTGCTGGGAACTGAACTCTGGTCTTCTGGAAGAGCAGCAAGTGCCCTTAACCCCAGAACTGTCCCTCCAGCTCCCATCAGAGTTTTAAAAATGGAATGGGGAGCACTTCTGTTGTTTCAGGGGTGCAGTGACATCTGAGCTGTTACAGAAGAGCATGGTGAACTTGATTTTGATGTCTGAGGGATGCACAGGGACCAAGAGCTTGGTTCCTCTTTTAAGATGGCAATTTATTCTCACCATGTTCTAGGTAGTGGTCGCCATTTAAAATCCTGGTCAATGCAACAGATGCAAAACCAGCTTAAAATCCTCTAATAGTGGCACAGGGGAATTGTTAGTAACTTGTGGGCCTATAATACTTTTAGATATAAAAAAGGTACATATGTAAATGTTCCTGAGTATATGTATATGCTTTAAAAGGGTGTCTTTATGAATGACATCATCATTGCCAATTATCAAAAGCCTCACTTGTGGAATTCATTGTGTATCCCAGGCAAGCCTTGAATCTAGGGATCTTCCTGCCTTAGCCTCCTGAGTAGTGGGATTACGTACATACACTATCATGGTTGCTTTTTAATCATCTTTTGTTTAATCTGTAAATTTAGTTTCATCTGTTATAGTGAAAATTATTTAGCTCTCCACTGATGAGAATTTAAATTGCTTCTCATTATTCTCTGTCACCAAATAATCCCTGAATTGCTTCTGTGTCTTTCATTGATTCAGCTGCTTTGGATACAATCTAAGAGAAACAAAACCAAAAACCCAAAACTAGTGGTTTAAAGTGTGCATGTTTTAAAGATTTCACTCCTTATTTTCAGGTTGTTCCATTGAAAGATTGTGTAGTGACCCAGGTGTAGTCTCAGCTACTCGGGAAGCTAAGTCAGGAGGATCACATGATCCTAGGAGTTAAAGCCCAGGTTGGGTAACTTGGTGAGACCTTGTCTCAGAAGTAGAGAGTATTGTAGTTGTTTCTAAACAGAATACCATTAGCTCTTCAAAGCAGCAGAGATCTAGATGTTTACAATATGATATCTGCAAATGAGATAGAAATGATTGAAACAGGAAAATTACAAGTACTAAGTAAATGTCATCAGGAACGGAGGAACTGTCTCATAATGCCAGCAGCTGTTAACAGAATGGCAGGCAGAGGTCAGAAATAGGAGTACGGAATGGCTGGGTCAGTCCTGTCAATACTGGATTCTTCAGTAGGTTAGGTAGGTTCTCATGACCTCTGAAATTCTATACTGCCTTTTTAGTAGTCAGCAAGAGAAAGGATGTTAATGGGCGTGGTTGGTTTGCCATACTTCACATATAATTGGCTTTATTAAAGGATATCTGATAGTCTGGAGAAGGGGGAGTTGGCGGGACAAAGTAGAAGCATGAACACCAGTTACTTCAAGAGTCCCAGAAAGTCTTGCAAAGGTTCACGGGAATGGAATGTCAAGAGTGGAAGGATATACCACCACTCTAGAGGAGAGCCTGAGAGGACGTGGAGCATGTATATGATTGTGTGTTTGCTACCCAAATACATACTTGAAAGGAGGGCTGGAGCCTCATTGTTGCTGGCTTGAGTTATGGGGTAGCCATGCATCATGGTACAGGGAAGATTGAAGAAAGCAAGTTCTTTTTCCTTTTTTTTTGTTGGAGGTAGGGGAAGAGGTGTTGTGGATTCATGATCTCTGTGTTTTAGATATTAACTTTGAGATGCCTGAGACATCCAAATAAAGATGTTAAATATTTCATTTTCATAAGCCACAGAGATGTTTGAAGTAGGAAGGAAAGTTTGATATCTAGTTATCTGTGGCTGAGAGTCCCTAGGTTGGAAGTGTATCAAGGGAAAGAAGAGGGACTGGAGAGATGGCTCAGTGGTTCAGAGCGCTGGGGATTGCTCTTACAGAGGACCTGGGTTCAGTTCCCACCACCCACATGTAGAGGCTAACACATGTCCTTAATTCTAGTTCCAGGAGATCCAACACTTTCTTCCAGCCCCCATGGGCATCAGGCACGCACGTGGCCATACATACACGCAGACTAAACACTCACACACATAAGACAAAATTTAAAAAGATAAGAGAGCCTGAGATGAACCCTAATGAATGCTGGCAATCATCCAAGGAAAGTAGGAGAAAGAACGTGGTGGGGGTGGCATAGCAGGTTTGCAGGCTGCAGTAAAGTATGATTTAGGACCAGACCTAAAGGCTGTTGAGTGCATGCTTGGAGAAGGTGAAGGTGGACATAGCACCTGACCTTCAGAACATGCATTTTTAGTTTTTCTGTCACTTGATACATGTTATTGTGGCATTTAGAAAATAGATACCGTGAGCACTTGAATGGCTGGATCCTTACGAGTAGTGATGGATGACCACCTCTAACTTTTAACTGGGGGATGAGAAGTTTGTTTTTTTTGTTTTGTTTTGTTTTGTTTTGTTTTTCAAAATCTGTCATTACCCTGATCATTTTTTGCTACCCATAAATTACATGAGAATTTATTTAAAAAAATTTTTAAAGGTGATGCCAATTTCTATTTATTTGTTTTTATGTGTGTGCTTGTGTATATGTGTGCATACACAGGATCACCTGGAGAAGTCTCCATTCTCTCCTTCTATTGTGTGGTTTCCAGGGATCAAACTCAGGTCATCAGACTTGGTGGCATGTGCCTTTACCCATTAAGCCATCCTGCTTGCCTGGAAATTTTTTTTGTAATGTTACATATATAGTATGTGGGGGGAGGGGTGTGCCATGGAGGTCAGAGGACAACTTTTGGAAGTCACTTCTTCCACCATATGGTACCGAGGGATGAAATGCAGGCTGTCAGGCTCGATGGCAGGTGCTTTACCTGCTAAAGCACCATGCCAGCCCATAATTTATTTTTCAAATTAGTTCCTCTGTACTTGCTACTGAAAATCAAAATATATATTGAGTTCTTTTTAGTGCAAAAATTTGAAAATCCCAAAATTATTTACCCTCATGATTACATTCAAACCAAACTACCTGGTAACTCTTCTTATGTCCCATCACGTTACTGCATCTCAGTACTGCAGACTTCAGTTCTCAAGAGCACAGGAGTGCTTGAGACTCATTGCTAATTCTTTGAGTAAAATCAAAGAGTAGAAAAAATATTTTTAAGTCATTTCTTTGTTTTCACTACAGAGATTCCTTAAAGATTATTAGAGATCGGGTAAGATGAGACCCCCAACTTCTCCCTCCATCCCCCCCAAAAAAGAGCTGCGTATGGTGGCACATACCTTTAATCCCAGGAGGCCGAAGCAGGTGGATCTCTGTAAGATCAAGGCCATCCTGGTCTGTATAGTGAGTTCCAGGCCAGCTGGGGTACAGGGAGATCCTGTCTCAGAAACAAAGCAAAAAAAGAAAAATAAGTTACAGAACTCGTATTACTATAGTTTGCCCTAGCATAGAGTAGCATTCTCAGCCCACTGCTGTAAATTACCAGTAAGAAACAATAGTGTAAGATTTATTCCTAAATGAACTGTTGGTCTAAATTATCCCCTACTATGGTGTGCTCAGAAGGGTCCCATCCATGATACATGCAAAAACTACAGGCACATTTGAAGGCATATTTCTTGCTTCTCTCTGATCTACTTAAGACCAATGTCACTCAGTTCTTTTTCAAGTCAGTAATATCTGTTGCTTAGCATATACTGATAACAGTGTCTGGACCCCTTTCTGCCTGTAGCCTCCTCTGTGCTCCCACAAGATCTTCTGGTAGTAGGGAAGGGAGCTTGGTACTAGGGTTGAGAATGATTCTGTGATGGTCCTTTACTGTTTCTGGATGCAAGCTTGCTGAATCTTTGGGGGAATATCTTCCTAGGATATCTGAAAGTATTTGGGGGAAAGGAACCAAGGTTGGGCTGAGAATTTGTGATAGCTCCTGGCTGTGTTTTGGGAGTCTCAAAAACTCAAAGTAGCCCAGGTAAAATTATGTAGTCCTAAAAGACCCTAAAGTCCCCAAAGCAATCTGAGAATGTATTGGTCACAGTGATTTTGATTTTCATGTGCTTGGTCTGAGAGGTCCGTCTTTATTATATAGAACTCGGATCTGGAACACACAGTATTTAAGCTATTTAAAGTATTGCTGATACTTGGCTCTGTTTTTTTTTTTTTTTTTAAAGAATGTTTGGTTTTGGTTGCTTTCTCAGATATACATCATAATTAATTTGTGCTTGATGTTTAAGGGACAAGCTTTGGAGCCCAAACAGGATGTTTTCCAAGGCCAAGAAGCAGCAGTTATGATGGATCAGAAGGCTGCACTGTATGCACAGACGTTCCCAGCCCAGGGGCCTCCAATGCAAGGGGGTTTTAATCTTCAGGGACAGTCACCATCTTTTAATTCTATGATAAATCAGATTACCCAGCAAGGCAGTTTTGCTCTCCAAGGAATGCATCCTAGAGCCAACATCATGAGACCAAGGACAAACACCCCGAAGCAACTGAGAATGCAACTTCAGCAGAGGCTGCAGGGCCAGCAGGTAACCAGCTTGGCTGTGGCTCTCAGTGGCTTTTTCCTTTGGCCCCACTTTGTTTAGTTTGTTTTCAGGCTGTGTTCCTCAGAGCTCTTATGACTGGCTCTCCTTTGCCAACCAAAGAAATTCCTTTTGCTCTCACTTCTATGTAAGATTTTATTTGTACAGATGGTTCTTTAAGAGTATTTGTGTTAGAATTAGGTAACTTTCTATAAGTATATTCCACTTTACACATTAAAAAGTAAAATTATCATCAGCCAGCAAGATAGCTTAGTGGGAAAACTTCTGATATTCCAAGATAGAACTTCCATTTTTCCTTTGTTTCTTAATCCCCACCTGCTTTAAAATCTTAATTCTTTGGTTACACAAACCATAACTTCTGATCAATGTGCTTATGAAATATGGAGCTAAGTCACTTGAGTAGCTAAGTGAGTGGATTTAGAATCCTGTGAACAAGAGTCAGTCATATGACTGTTCATGAAGTCACTGTAGGACTGGGAAAACTGTTTCTGTGAAGCTTATGGTCTGTTTTTATTTATTTTTTTTTAGGTCTTTTTGAGACAGGGTCTACCTATAGCCCCAGCTGGCCTGGAACTTGCTATGTAGACCAGGCTGGCCTGAATTTCACAGAAATCCATCTGCTGGCTTCTGCCTCCCAAGTGCAGGGACTAAAGGCATGTGCCACCATACCTGGTCCTTTTATTTATTCTCAAATTTTTTTTTTTCTTTTTAAAATTATGTTTGTGGGTGGGTATGTGCAGGTACCCATGGAGGCCAGAAACATTTGATCACTTGGAGCTGGAGTTAGAGGCATTTGTGAGCTGCCAGACGTGAGTGCTAGGAATCGAGCTTGGGTCTTCTACAAGAGCAGTACAGTCTCTTAACCATTAAGCCATCTTTTCATCCCCACTTTTTATTATTTTCACTAATAGTAACTTAGGGAAAATTTTATTCACTGTTATTCTGACCAAGTCAAGGCTGTTTCTTCAAGTGCCTGAACAACCCCAAGGAAAATCTGACTTAAAAATTTCTTCTAATTTGTTTTTATTTTACGTGTTTTGCCTGCATGCATGTAGGTGTAGCACATGTGTATAGTGTGGTGGAGGCCAGAAAAAGGCATTGGATCCCTTGGAACTGCAGTTATGAAGAGTTATGAGCCCCCTCGAGGGTGTTAGGAACCAAACTCAGGTCTTCTTCAAGAGCAGTACACAGTCTTAACTGCTGAGCACTGTCTCCAGCCCCAGCATTACCTTTTTGGTGATTCACTTTAGATGTGGTTTCCTAGTTCAGTGGCTTTGGAGTTACATTGTACTAGATGGTACTGGAAGTTTATAAAGCAGATTGGGGCTCATGAACATGCTCTACTTGTGTCCTAACCAATGCATCTCTGTTTAGTTTCTGAATCAGAGCCGACAGACCCTTGAAATGAAAATGGAAAACCCCACTGGTGGTGGTGCTGTGATAAGGCCCATGATGCAGCCCCAGGTAAGCTCTTAGGAGAGGAAGAAAGTCTCCACATCCCAGCACAGGGCTTGGTTCTCACTGTGTTTGCTAAACAAATAGAGTAATTCTGATTTTTTTTTTTGTACGAGATTTGGTTCTTTATTTTTTATGCATATGAGTGTATTGCCTGCATGTGTGTAAGTGCACCCATGTCAAGCAATGCCCTGGAGGACAAAAGAGGGTGTCGGATCCCCTGGAACTGGAATTACGGACAGTTGTTAGCTGCCATGTGGGTGCTTGGAATTGATCTTGGGTCCTTTGCAAGAGCAGCCAGTGCTCTTCACTGCTGAGCCATCTCTCTAGCCCTCTCTTTCCTTAATCCTCTTGTTAGCAGTGAGGGCATTAGGGAGGAGGGGTTACTTGATTAAAACCTCCAGTAAAATCAAATTCCCTGTGTGCTCAGTTGTTATGTTGAGATAATCTCTTAGCTTTGGTGTAATTTAAAATAATAACTGTTTAAATGCTTCTGTTCCTAGATCACAAAACCACATGTTCATTGGGCAGCTATTAGAAGTTACAAGTCTAAAGAACCAAAGATAATACCTAATCTAATTCTCAGTGACAGCCTTTGAGATAACTGATTATGCTCTGGCAAAGGCTTACAACAGCTCTAGCCCTGTCAGGATGGAAACAGAGTTAATTCCTCAGTTTGTGGGAGGCATTGGACTATGGGACAGTCCTCCACTGTGGTTAAAAATACTGTTTATAAATTTTTTTCAAAAATATACCCAATCTGCATTATCTTAGGCCTCCTTGGAAGTACTGGTATTTGTATTTCCATTGTAATCAGCATCTTGTGTATTCTGAGTTGTGAGGCCTTCCAGATTGGTTTGCTTTAGATGATCTTCCTCTGCTGGTAGCTCCACATTAGCATCTTTTATTCTGTGATCCTTTTCACACCTTAGTTTCCTCTTAGCTTCTTCCTTTCCTCTACCTCTCCTTCTAGGAGGCATAGAGACTGTCAGTCTTCTTAGGTCCCTGCCTGTGTGTGTAACCCCATCTTTTCCCTCCCTCCTTTGGAGGATTTCCTTCATTCCTCTATTGCTCTCACTCAGCACATTCTCAGCCCCTGTCCATACACATATTTCTTCTTTTTTGAGACAAGGTTTCTTAAAAGCTGTGCTGACCTTGAACTCCTGCCTTTATCTCTCAGATTCTGTGATAATTATTGTGCTTTATCATACCTGAATTCTTTTGGGGTTTCTGAGATCGAGTCTTCTTACGTTAGCTTGGGTTGTTCTCAAATTCCCAAGTGTATTATAGCATACCAAACAGCTTTTTTCTTGCTACGTTTTATTTTTATTTTTTGTGTATGAATTTTGCCTGTGTATAAGTGCACCATATGCATACAATGCCCATGGAGGCCAGAAGGTGGCGTCGGAGCTCCTAGAACTGGTTATAGACAGTTGTTAGCTGTCATGGGGGTGCTGGGAACTGAACTTTGGTCCTCCAAGAACAGCCATCTTAACTGATGAGCCATCTCTCTAGGCCACTCCCCTCCTTTTTTTTTTTTTTTGAGCCTCTGTTGCCCAGGCTAGCCTTGACCTACGAGGATTAGTTCTTTTGCCTCAGTCTTGTTATGTACAAGCCACCATATCTGACTCAGAAAGCTTATCATAAAGAATCACACATTTTATTTTTCCTTTAATTACAAAAAGATACTAGGGATTTTTTTTTTTCTCTTTGATACTTCATATATTGTGGGGCAGTGTATGAACTGTGTTGTTTGGTTTTCTCTGTACACATGTAATTGTGTAGCTTTCTTGGCTGTTAACAGGGCTTCTTAAATGCCCAGATGGTTGCCCAGCGCAGCAGAGAGCTGATGAGCCATCCCCTCCAGCACCCAAGAGTGGCTATGATGATGCAGCAGCCACAGCAACAGGCCTTCAGCCCGCCTCCGAACGTCACTGCATCCCCTAGCATGGATGGGGTTTTGGCAGGACCTGCGATGCCACAAGCCCCACCACAGCAGTTTCCTTATCCACCAAATTACGGTAAATCTGGCAGATTATATCTTCCCCAGGGTCATGTTTCTAAGGACAAAAACTTCACTAGGTCTGTTACATATAAAAAAATATACTGTTTGCTCCAACGGACTGTTTTTACAAGAAAATTGAAGAGTAATGGAGGACTGTGGCACCCAGGTGATAGAGCAGGTATATGTTCTCTCACAGCTGAGTGTTTTTTCAGGGCTTCTTTTTAAAACCTAAGAAAAAGATTCTTTTTCCCAAATGAAAGTTCTTTCCTGTCCTTTCTTTCATATCCTAGTGTAGTAGATTGCTGTGTACTCAGTCTCTGAACATTTGTTCAAGCCAGTGGGAGGGAGCCACTCTGTGGACCTTACATCCCCTTTCTTGGTAACTTGGGCACTTAACAGCGTTTCAGTTTAGCCTTTGCGAGGTTCTGGGATAGGCTGGGCTAAAGGTGTCTTATTGGGGACAGAGCAGATTTCAAGATGCAGCTCTGCCCTCTGAGAAGGAGTCTTTCTTACACAGAAAAGTCATTGAAGCAGCTGCCCTCCAAGTTGATGAAAATGGTTTTTCTTTCTTACCAAGTCCACAGCTTTGGTTGTCATCTTGGTGAGAACCAAGGGCTACCAGAGCAATGTTGTAGAACTTTATCCTCTCCATCCCACTTCTAATTCTAGAATAGATGATTCTAGAATGTACAAATTCTAAGGATGTAACATAGCATTTGAACAGTTTAATTTCTATTTTGTTCTTCAAGGAATGGGACAACAACCAGATCCAGCCTTTGGTCGAGTATCTAGTCCTCCTAATGCAATGATGTCATCAAGAATGGGTCCCTCCCAGAATCCCATGCTGCAGCATCCTCAGACTGCACCCATGTATCAGTCTTCAGACATGAAGGGGTGGCCAACGGGAAACTTGGCCAGGAACAGGTAAGGAATAGTGCCAGAAGTCTGGCCTGGGAAATTAATCTGGTTGTTTCTCAGATACACTTATTTGGATGGGGACATCACAAGTCCTGGCCTCGTATTAGAAAATATGTCATTTGACTTATTTTGTGATTCCTTTATACCATGCCCTTGTCTATTAATGTACTGAGTAGAGACAGCTCTGAAAACTAGAAAACAAGCTGTCAGGAAGTTTTTCTCTGATGTTTCTTGCTTATTAGAGGGACATTTGGCAAAACTGGGATAGTTTGTGTGTGTATGCCCTGTGGTCTAAATTGATTGGAGATAACACCACCCTTGTTTTGTAGCTCCTTTCCTCAGCAGCAGTTTGCTCCCCAGGGGAACCCTGCAGCATACAGTATGGTGCACGTGAACAGCAGCAGTGGTCACCTGGGACAGATGAACATGACCTCCATGCCCATGTCTGGCATGCCCATGGGTCCTGATCAGGTATAGGAATCTGTTTCTTACCTTTCCTAAGAAATTGCTTTTCTTCTTTGTATAGAACCAGAACTCTAACTATAATCTAAAAGTCCTCAGTAGATTTTTAACTTGGATTTTTTAAATCTTTTAAACCTTTTAAAAAACAGTGTTTAAAAACATCAATTTTGGGGGGCTGGAGAGATGGCTTAGTGGTTAAGAGCAGTGACTGCTCTTGCAGATGACCCGGGTTTGATTCCCAACACCCACATGGCAGCTACAAACCATCCTTAACTACAGTTCCAGGGGAATCTGAAGCCCTCTTCTTACCTCTGAGGCATTGCATGACATGGGTGCACTCACATACATGCAGGCAAGACACTCATACACATAAAATAAAAATAATAGCCAGGCATGGTGGTGCACGCCTTTAATCCCAGCGCTTGGGAGGCAGAGGCAGAGGCAGAGGCGGATCTCTTTGAGTTTGAGGCCAGCCTGGTCTCCATAGCAAATCCAGGCCAGCTGGGGCTACAGGTAGACCCTGTCTCCAATAAAGTAAAATAAAAAATAAAATAAATCAATTTTTTTTTGATTGTTTGAGTCATGGTCTTACTATGTAAGTCTGGCTGGCCTGGAACTCAACCTGCTTCTGCTCCCTGAGTGCTTGAGATTAAAGGTGTGTACCACCACACCCAGCAAAAATCACTTGAAGGCCTAGCTTTTAGATATTATAGGCTCTGAAAAGTCTGAACCAGTTAGCCTGGCAAAACATAGGTCTGTTTTATGTTGTGCTGAACCCATGTGTTACTCAGGTTTTTTTTTCTGGTTGTCAACAGAAATACTGCTGACATCTCTACTGGGCCCTCTACACTGTACAAATGAACACTGCACAAGGATCATCAGGAGGTAATGAAGCACTGTTCAGGCATTCTGCTTGGAAGCAATGGTCAGCTTGATCTCCCCTGGTGTTCTACCTGGTGTCATTTGAACGGGACTGGATCTTGAGCTGAAGCGCACTATCTACCTGATTCCCCTGCTTCTATGTCCTGGTGTTCTGCCTCATAGGGATGTGATTCTGGAGACTGGGAATGTTCATCATCACAACGCTCCAGTGTCACTTCTTTCTGCCTTGCTAGCCAAAGTCTTTCAAATAAATCTAGGTGGGCTAGGGTTTCTCTAGTGCCGTATTGGACAAAGAGCATAGTCCACCTTCAAGTGTTTTTGTCACTAGCAAGTAATTTTGTGTTGACTTTCTGTCCAGTAGAATTGCATTTCTGCATTCTTCTCCTCTGTGGACGGTTGTTGAGTTGGCGTTGTCTCTAGTTTCTGTTGTCCTAAGTTTTCTCCTGATGATTTTCATTTAACCCTAATGTCCTGTAATACTCAAGGATTTGTCATTGATGTTAAATGGCTTTGCAGAAGGGAAGATGAGATAACAGTATTTAATTGCAGCAGTGGCAAATTAATATGCTAACGTGCAGCTGAGTGCACTTTATTTAAAAAACAATGGAGAAATGCAATATTCTTGAGGTCGTGAGGAATGGTGGACCACATTCCTGGTTTTTGTCTGCAGTAATGTTAGACAAGAACCGTTTTTGTTTGTTTTTAAAGTACTGGTGTCACCCTTTGCCTATATGGTAGAGCAATAATGCTTTTTAAAATAAACTTCTGAAACCCAAGGCCAGGTACTGCATTCTGAATCAGAATCTTGCAGTGTTTCTGTGAATAGTTTTTTTTTTTTTTTTTGTAAATATGACCTTTTAAGATACTGTATTATGTAAAATATGTATATACCTTTTTTGTAGGTCACAACAGCTCATTTTTACAGAGTTCGTGAAGCTAAATATTTAACATTGTCAATTGCAGTAGGCTGGGAGCAGAAGAGACTTCCTCAATCCCCTGGCCTGGGCAGGAGGGGAGACTGCAGCTTATCCTCCTCACTCTTTTCAGTCTCTTAATCTAAATACTTTTTTTAAAGTGATCATTTGTTTAGATGTAGACATTTGAATTTTAAAAAATTCCTCTACCAGAGAACTACGCACTTTGTTAATTTTGGAGGAAAGGATATGGGGAAATGAGCTTAAAAAAAAAAAAAAACTCAGCAATTATAAACAACAAACCAAGCAATTAGATCTCAAAAGGAGTCTTGAATTTAAGAGTTTATAACTTAAGTGACAGTTTTAAGAAACTTGAGTGTTTCGTGACTTTGGTTTTCTAGGACCTGCGGCCCCGGGTTAGATCACAGGCCTCACGTCCTTGCTGTGGCTCTGCTGTCGGCTCAGCTCTCCAGCCATTCTGCTACCGTAGTGTCTCACTACCTCTCTGTTAGAACAGTGTCATGGTTATTTTGAAGGATCTCAGAACCAGACTGCTAGTGCTGCCATGCTTCTGACCCACAATCCTAACAAATCTTGGCACTCAAGCCTCTGCCCACCCCCCTTTTTGTTGCCTGTTTTTGACACCTGTCCTAGTCCGGTTGGAGTAGGGGAAAACCAAGTTTAATGCTCTTTATTTAGGGTCCTCTTAGGTTCAGACTGTTGAATGAAATTTGGTTAGTTGGAAATGTCTGCTAGCAAAAACAAAAACGATGTAATATTCCAGGAATAACTGAGGACCATTTGGTTTTTAAACATGATACATTTAGCTAATCATTCTAGAGATTTCTGAAGGGAGTATGTTTTGTTGATATAAACAGTGAAGTCTGTATTTCCAGAACTATGTCTGGTATGGACTTGTTTTCCCAACAGCATGGCCATCATTATGGGCTCTGCCTTCTGAGCGGCCCACTGCCTCTAGCTTAAACAATCCTAGATTGCAGATCTGTAAGCTTCCGTTATGTCGCTCAATGCTTGGCAGGTGATACCTCCTGTCTGGAGACAGAGGAGGCACAGCAGAGGGAGTCTCTTTTTCAGCCTTGTTCTGTCAGGTTGAGTGTGTCTGAGCCTTCCTTGCTTAAATTGTGTGTCTGTGTGTGTATGTGTCTGTGTGTGGGGGGGACAGCTGGTGCTCCTGCCTTTCTTAACTTTTAAAAATCATTTCAAACAACTTTGTGATTCTTTCCTCAGTATCCCAATTCCAGGCTAACTGGATGGCACCCTCTTTTTGTATGGGGAAAAAAATGAAGTTTATTATGTTTGTATATTTTCTACTTGTTGATTTTTATTGGTGCAGATTCAAATTTTGATTTTCTTTTAGTGTGAGAATTTTTTTTTTTTTTAACTCTTACTGCCCTTTAATCTTCTTTGGATGTTTCTTTGTGCTCCTGCTGCCTACCTCTCCTTACCTCCTTCCTGAGCCCTTCTAAAACCTCGGTATCTTTTGGGCAAACAGTATAAGTAATCTTTTCATCTGCTTTTAGAATGTGGGATGTTTCCAGTTCCTACTTTTTTTGCTGCATCCAAAGATCTATAAATAAATATTTTTTATGAAGATCTAAATGATATTATGGGAACATGTTTTTTCCTTCAAAAATAAATAGAAGCTGCATTGTTGATGTTCGTATTATAATGCCATTTCCTAAATTGTGTACCTGGATCAAAGGGTCTAAGTATCACTAACAGCCCTACTTAGTTCATCAGCATTCAATATCTGAGTTGGGGCATATAGCGGGTGAGTACTATAGAAAGTTAATTGGCTTGATCCACAAGATACTGCTTTGATTCAGAGGTAGATGCAGCTGGAATGTCCAAGGAAGGATTGCCAGTTGCCCACATGCCAGTCCAGGTCCCTTTTTATCTCCAGAGTCTGAGTTTTGTTCCCAAGTAGGGAATTTACAGGAGCAAAATCTCTAGGCTAGTTGAAATTGTGCTCTTGCACCAAAGGAACAGGGGTTGTCCCTTCCAAGGCAAGTGATCTCAAAATGAGCAGGTGTTTTCCTTTTCCTGCCTCCTCCCCCTTTTCTCTTCCCTTTCAATCTATGGAATTTTGAAGAAGATGGAAATGTCATTCTGAGAGCAGTAAATTCTCAGGAATTGACGTACAGCATTGAGAATGAATTCGGGTTCAATCCAGTTTACACTGTTACTTAAAACATTTGAAGTCATTCTTTACACTGCAAGGAATTGAAACCACATGTGGGTGACTCAGAGATGGGGTGGTAAGCTATGAATGCTTTGTTGACCGTTTGGATGTCCTTGCAAATAAAGGTTCCTATTTAAAATCAGAGCCTAAGAGCATGCTTTTTCTCCTCTCTTCTTAACACTGCTGGATTAGGGGTAGAAGAGAGGGTTAAGGAATCCTGTTTCAAATAATGGGAGCAGTTTCCGTGAAGATTACAGCCTGAACCTGTTGGGGGCATTTGAAAAACAAGACTATTTAGATACAACTTGAGCACCCTCTGCTGAGAGGGGGGTTGGGATGGAGACTGAGGGCTCCCCAACTTCTTCAGGTTTTAGAATTTTGACAGCCACACACATATCCTACCCGATACAAAGAAGAGTCAGCTAAGGTGAACTGCCTTGAAATTAAGATTTTATAAATGGAGTCCCAGAGCGAGTGTGAGACTTACCTGTGATGCTCCTAAATGCATGGTACATTTTAATCATTAATTTACAACCATCTGCTTCCCTTTAAAAATCCTCTCAACTGAAGACATCTCCTTCCAAAAAGGCACGACAGTATCTTGAATGCTTAAAGTTAAAAAAAATAAAAGCAAAAAACTCCCGAGATAACCTTTTACAAAATTCAAAGATTTCTTCATACCAATGGCTAGTCCAGTTGCTAGGGGTTTAAACACAGTACGACAATACTTAAATGCTACAAAATTCTTTACAAATACAATGTCATTAAAACATGGAACACACATCAACTTGGTTTTTCAGTACCTTAAAAAATGTCAGTTCTGGGATGAACAACAAAAGAGTGAATCCTGGATGGAACGGTGTCTGGGCAGGAGCAGAAATGTCCACAAGTGCAAGGGGGTTTCTTTTACACTGGCCACAGAGCGTTTATTGACACCACCACTCTTGAAAATTGGGATTTCTTATTAGTGAGACTCTCTAAAAGTTCCCATGTTGGTTACATGTAAATAGTCACATATACACTGAAGGCAGCTTCTTTAGAGGCAACCGGGCATCGTGCTAGGTAAAGGTTACTGTTTTGTGCTATTAACTTATTGTCAGACTGTGCGCTGTCGGCAGCACCTGTGAGTTGCCCTTATCCTTGCTTTCTTCTTTGTGATGAATTAAAAGAGTAAGGTTAAAACAAGCCCCCCCCGCCATGATTTTTTAAAAGTCCAGCAACTTTGACCCATGGAGGAAATTTCCATGGAAATCAGTACTTTTTCCCTTTTGAGCCTCTCAGAGGGCTTGTGGTAACTTTTGGAAGTGAAAACTCATTCTATGTAGGTGGTGCGGCTTAATCCAAAGCAAAGCAGGGCAAAAATGGGCCTCCGGAAGTTGCTGCTCCAGACTGCTATCCTCCAGGAATTCCACATCAGCCAGGAGCAGGCCCTGTCTCTCAGGCAGCCTGTTTCAGCATGGGTCTGCTGGGGATCACACGGTTTTGCACGGCTTGTGCAGCCACATCAAGCCTCTGGTTTTGGAGGTCCGTCTCTGTGGCTGCTTAACCTTCCCAGCCTTCCCAAAGCTGTCCCCTGTAGAGCAAAACAAACTTCTCAGCCTTTGATTATCGTGCTACTTTGGAATTGGGGGTGTGTGTGTGGACATTTTGAGACAGGGCCTCCCTGTAGCCCCATTTGACGTGGAACTCACTATGTAGACCAGGCTGGCCTCGAACGCACAGAGATCCACCTGCCTCTGCCTCCCTAAGTGCTGGGACTAACTAAAGGCATGCGCCACCACACCTGGAGTTACTTTGGATTTTTAAATCAGTCCTAGAGTGGCATAAGTTCTGCTTCAAGGATATAGCTGCTAGAAGTGAGTATTCCTAGTCCACGTGAAAGGAACTGTTCCACCTCATTTCTCAATGCTTAATGCTCACTTAGCCTCAGTGGCTGGCAAAGGTGGCATTTAAGGGTCTGGATAAAATCATGGCTAAAGGAGAATGTGAGATGTACATTCTGGAAGCTGGTTCATTTAATTACTATCTTCAGAAAGCCACAGATGTTCATTTGCATGAAAGGTTCGAATAGACCAGAGGTCACACATGACAGCCACTGTCTCCACATGGCCTCACAGCTGTTTAGAAATCATGTCATGAGGGCATTCTACTGCTGAGTGTATGTACCAGTTAGCGCTTCTGCAACCACAGCCTTCAAGGTATCTTGACAGCTCTAATACTTAACCGCTTCTCAACCTCTAAGACAGCTCAAGTTTCTAAGCACAGATTATTATCGAGAACAGCAATATAGTAGTCTGAAATGTATTCACATGCTAGCTTACAGGAAAGACAACTTATTACTGCTTCCCTTCTCAGCACAGGAACAGTGGGGATAATAAAGACATGGCATGCACACGCAACAGCTCTGGCAAAAGGAAGTAAGTTGGGCTGCGGTAAAGCTCAGTGGTAGAGTGCTTGCGAAGCTAGCATGGGTGAGCCTTGGACTTAATTCCTAGTACTGAAAAAACAGTAAAACAAAGCAAGCAAGTCAGAATCAGATCTCTTTGTAACTGGTTCTTAACTCACAGTGATTTGGAAGAAGGTCTCTTCATTTCTGGCCATTTTCGACGCTGAAACTGCCTAAGGTTTCAAGTGCCAAAAGGAGAATGACTGTTAATCATCACCAAGAAAGAAAGCCTCCCCAAAGAACTATTCAAAGAAGGTCTCTGAGGTGACGCCTGTCACTAGTGGGTCACCCAGGCCCCAGGCAGACTGAGAAAGGACAATTTCTCAATAGGTACAAACCTCACAGACATGAAACTACAGGACAGGTCAAGATGGGGGAACTTACCTAAAGCTTTAGTAACAAAACCAAATACCTGTATTGCTCATAGCTTCCTCCATCTTTAAGTCCTGAATGGGGGAGAAAGGAACAGAATGGGAACAGGTAGTTTAGGGTAAAGCTGCACAGGCATTGACAGGCTTTATGATTGTCGTCTAAGGAAGAAACACCCAGAACCACCTTTGGCTTTTCATAACAATGCCAGGCTGTTGCTAATGTCCCTTAGTCATCTCCTAGGTGGCCTTGTAGACTGCCCACCTGCTGTCCCCCATTAGCTGTGCTAGCATAAGCCATCATTCTGACCTTTGTGGCAGGGACACAGGCACAGTATGGGCACCAGTGCCACAGAGGACTCACAGCCAGGGCCTGTAAGAGGGCTGGAGACCCTGTGTGTGCTGTGAGGAAGAGTTCCTGGGGATGTGGTGGTGTCATCAAGTACGTGGGCTTGGGAGTCAGCCAGTGGCTTCATTCATTGCTAAGGACAGAGTCACCTCATAGGGGCCATCCTGAGAATGTCCACTAATGTACATAAAACACTGGGTATCATGCCTGGCACGTAGCATGTGAGGGGTATGTTAGGGAGTATCAGTGCCTTGGTAGCCACACTTGCCCTTCTCACCTCATAACCAAAACTGATTGGCACACCTGGATTTTGTCTGCTCAGTGTGCCACTTTCCTGATGGGCACTCCAGGCATCTTCCTACATACAAGTAGAAACTCCCAAGACTTTCAGTGACCAGAGGTATTGAGCCACTGCATTTTGTTAGGGTAGTAAGCACATGACAGTCGTAAGCACATGACAGTCATCCTTTTAATATATATATATATATATATATATATATAGTTTTAATTTTATTTATTATTTTTATTTTATGTGTATGCATGTATTGCCTGCACCCATGTAAGTGCAGTGCTACTCTGGCTGGCCTCAAACTCAGATCCACCTGCTTCTGCCTCCCAAGTGCTGGAATTAAAGGTGTGTGCCACCATGCCCCACAGTGTTTTCCATCTTAAAACATCTAGTTGGCATCCTGAACTTAGAACTGCTGATTTTGCCTTGTCCCAACAAAGCCTCGTTTTCTGATACCTTTACGTCTTTAGTCATCATGTTGTGTGTTGTTTAAGCACTGGACCTCAAATCCATTATCTCTCCATCATCAGTGCTCACAAACCTAGTCTCCCACATTACCATCTTCCTGGGTAACCTGCCATTCATCACTGTTTACTAGAATCCAGTAATCTGTCCTTTTTTAGGGGCGGGAGGACTGCAAAGTCTGCCTGTAGCCCCAGATGGCCTGGAACTCACTATGTAGAGCAGGCTAGCCTTGATCCCAGAGGTCATTGCCTCTGCTTCCTGAGTGCTGGGATTAAAGCTATGCTCTACCATGCCCAGCTTCTCTCCTTTTTAAATGCAGACTTTTTGGCTGCTTGGGTGTAAAACTCTCTACCAGCTTCCCATAGCATCCACAACAAAGTGTAAACTTTTTCCTGTGGTCTGCAAAGCCCATATGGGATTGGCCGTCTGACCATGCCAGCCATGTTCCTCCACCACGTTTAGGGTCTGCTTCAGCCACACTGGGCTAACATATACCCCTTTACCTTCTAGTGCCCCGCCAAGCGCTCCATGTTTCCCAAAGGTTGACTGCTGCTTCCTTCACAGTGCCCACCCCGACCTGTCTCAGAGTCCCTCATGAGCACAGTGTACTGCAGCCCTGTGTCATCCATTCAAGTCAGAGGCATCCCTGTGTGGACTCTTTCCCTGAGCAGAAGGCCAGCTCCACATCTTGTCACATTTGCTTCCCAGTAACCCACATGGCTGGAGGTTTAAGTTCTCAGTGAATGAATGAACAAAAGGGAGGAACAGGACACGACAGGGGAAATCTGTTTTCTGTGTAGATGGTGTAAGGTGCTCAACTCTGTGGAAGCAGCTGACTGCCAGGGCAGGAGTATCTGACTTTCCTGATGATTTGTCTGGAATTACACCCCACTCTATAATTCTGGGCTCACTCCTGGGGTAGACATGACCTAAGTTCCTTCTTACGTGACCCTGCACTCTACAGGCTCCAAATTGGGACTCACCCAGGTCCATGTTTCGGGTCCGGGGGTTGCACTGCTTGTAGCCCTTGCAGCTCCTCAGCTCCATGAGCTGCACGTGCAGCTGGTTGAGGATGTCCCTGTCCAGTGTGTTCACCGCATTCATCAGCTGGTGGAGAAAAAGGTAGGCTGTCAGCAGGGAGCGTCCAGGGACCCCCTGCCCCAACAGTCTACAAACCAGAGGACAATCCAGGCAGGCTAGGAGTGGAGGCGCTTTGGGGTACTGCCTACACCCCAGCCTCTACTTCCACAAGATTCAAAGTATGTAAGTGTTCTCTCCACCAGGTGTTCTCATTGAGAATGGCAAGAATAAAAACCATGCCTGTGTCCTTAACCCTGAACTTCTGGAGTCACTGGTCAGGAACCTTACATAGCTTAGAAAAAAGCCCTTCCAAGCTTTGGGTTTGTCAGCCACCTTACCCCTTTGGTAAAATATGGGCTGAACCCATCTGAGAAAGCTGTATGGCTGTGAGCACCCGAGCAGCTGACATCGGAAAGTCTGATGGCATATAAGCTGTCTTAGGCTTTTCGAATGAGGTAGATGGTTGGCCAACACTGAGACCACCCTACGTAAGAGCTATAGTGCCAAAACACTACAGTAACCACGTGTACAGGACTTGCATGTGTCCGTCCCAGGTGCCCTGTCTGTTGCCTGCGCTAGTCTTGTGAGGTTCTGGGATACTTCAATCATGTATGTGCCTAGATGGTCTAAAATAGGGATGCTGAGTAGAGTTGTCACAGGGACATGCTGGGTGTTGTCATGGTTGTCTACACCAGAGCGTGGCCTGACCCTGTAACTCCATGGCTCTAGAGGTCCATAGATGTGCCTGTTGAACCTTGTAGCCAGTATGTGCCTGAGGTAGAGCAAAGAGGTATACCACAGATCACAGATGCAGGGCGATGGAGGTAGAGAGGTTGACTGCACAGAGTCCCCAGAACTCTCATCCCGTCTTAGAAAACAACGGGACTTGGAAATTTGTTCTTGCCCCCAGGGTGCGTCTTTCTGACCCAACTCTCCCATTTCTCCCTTTCTATGGTTTTGTCTGTACCTGGTAGGGGTCTGTATTAAGGTCAAAGTACTCCAGGAAGCCGGTTGCAAATTCACAGAAGAGGAAGTTGTGTGTCTCGTTGATGGTCCTTAGGCACCAGTAAGTGTTATTGTTGGCACTGGTGCATGCACAGAAAGGCCCCACTGCCAAAGGAAGAGAGAATGCTCAGAGTGGTGCCTGCAGGAAGAGGACCATCTGTCTGTCAGCCTCCCCCCAAGTAACAGACACAGGTTTCTACGAGACCTCAAGGTTCCAGCAGTGAGGCCCTCTCAAGCTTGGGGAAGGCAGATTGCCATGCAAAGTGAATTTCTGTGGCCCTCCGGGTGCACCTGTCCTCCGTCTGCCTCAGTCTGCTTACATGTCCAGAGAGGTGCCGTCTGCCAGTGCTGGTTGTCATGGGTAAAGCACGTGAGGCCTGGCATACTGCACGTGTCGTTGTTCCGCAGCCGTTTGAGAAGCTTCCGGAGTTTCTTCTTGCGTTTCTGCTCCCGTAACAGCCACACCTTGTCCTTCTCCTGAAGACCCTTCCTGGGGGCACAGAGGACCACACACACTTTAGATCCCTGAAGGATCAACCCCCCTGCTCTTCTGGTGCATCAGGTCCAGCCATCAAGAGCTCCGAGTCCCACTGCCAGGTCAAAGCTAGGGCCAGACCCCAGGGTCTTTCTCCTGTAGCCTCCTCCTGCCCTACTGCAGCACAGAGGCAGGGCAATTAGGTGGCTATCGGGACCCCTACTCACACCTTGAGCCCATCCTCCTGTGCCCACTGCTTAATGTGGCTGCAGCACCATGTCTAGCCACAAGGGGGCGTTCCGAGGCTTGGCCAGCCTCCCAGGGAAAGCAAGCCCAGGTTTCTTTGTTTCCCTTGTAAATTTTAGCTACAGGAGGTAATCTCCTAATCTGGCACCTTACCCAGGTCCCATCCCTGTCCTTACCTGAAAGGATGCAGGCTGGAGCCTTTGTGCTTGAGGTGCCCTTTGTGTTGGGTGTGGTAACTGCAACAGACCCTCCCACCCCCCAGGTGTCAGAGGCTTGCAGGACACCCTTGCAGGTGTACACTGTGTTTTCTGTCACTAATGCCTGACTGGGAGAGTCATCCCCAGTCATCCCCAGGATGACAGCTCCCTACTTGGCTTGAAGGCCTTTATAAGGTCAGGGTGGGTAAAATTGAGCCCAGACTTAGAGGCTGGGCCTGGCTTCAAGTGGTGTCAGCCTTGGCCTCTGGAGGTTGGTCCCCACCAGGCTAGCTACCTCATGGTCAGAAGGGGGGCCCGCTCTGGGGAATGAGTTTTATATGCCCTTTTAAGTCAGCTCTGGTATTCATTTCAAATCAAGTAAAATTCTGGCACCATGTTCAGGAGTCACATGTGGTGTGCGGTTACCACACTGGACGGTGCCAGTGACTATAGACAGAGCCCATTTTTGTCAATGTGGGACAATCTAGCTGGCAGGGTCACGACAGCAGGCAGAACTTGCCAGGGGCCCCTGAGCTGGTGGTGTGGACCTGGAGCCCTTGAGCCCAGCAGTTTCCTAAGGACAGTGAATACCACTCTTCCCCGGCTGAAGCCAGCTCTGCATGACAAGGCCCTACACTAGTCCAGTGCAGCCTGACCATCTGCACCAATGGGGATGTGGATTATTACTGACTCCTCAGTCCTGACAGGTGAAGAAGGGGTTAAAAAGCAGTGAAAGGTGAGCAACCCCGTGCTGCCTCCTCACCTGATTTTGTGGCAGTCACATTCTTCTGGCCGCTTCTTCTTTAGGTGACCTCTGACTTCCCTCAGGTTCTTAATTTTATTTTGTAGGGTTTCGATCTGAGGGAGGAAGCAGAGGAGGCCTGGTAACTGCACGGCAGCTGCACTCCATGGGACACACACATTCATGGTTCTCCTCGGGGAAGGAAGCCCCGCTTCCCCTCCAGCCAGTCTCCCCTGAAGGAGCTGCGAGTCCCCCCCTGGCCCGGCAGACCATCTTGTAGGCCTAAAATATGAAGGCCCACATTCCCTCAGCCATCCAGCCCTGGATTGGACCTAGGACTGGCTCTCAGGTGCCGGGTGCCATTCTAGGGTTGTGGATTCTATGGGGACCTCCCTGCCTTCCTTGTGGACACTGAGTGTCCCCGGTGTCCCCTAGCCTGTGGCGCCTGACAGTGCTGTGCCAGTTGCCTCACCTCGTGGTCGATGTGCAGCTTGTGGTCTTTCCAAGCCTGCAGGGACTTGTACAAGTCTAGGTCACACTGAACCGTGTCATTCTCAAGGATGTAACACCTGCTCAAGAGAAGGGGTCACAGGTGGCCCTGAGGTATGCAAAGGGGCCCAGCCTGTCCCTTCACCCCGACCTCCACTTCGACTCTCACCGATGAGTCACTTTAATGGGATTGGGGGCTGAGTAGTCTGGGAGGCCTCCAGTGCCGCTGAAGCTGCCACCATCCTTGTCGTCCTGGTCCTCCGAGGCCCCTGACCAGTGCCGCTTGGTAAGGTTGTGGGGCCGGGGCCCATCGTCCAGGCCTACATGGTACACCTCACCATCCACTTCAATGGCTACAGAGCGGATGGAGCGGTTACGGGCATAGCTGGTCTTGTACTCTGTGGATGTCAGAGGGGAAGCTGGGTTAGAGAAGCTGGCCAGCATGTCTCCCCCAACCCCCAGCAGCAAGTCATTAATCAAGACAGGGCCGGGATCCCAAACACAAGGCTCAGTGTTGCCCAAGACATGTGAGCTCAGGATCTACCGGGAAGGAAGCAGGTTACATTGGGGAAACTAAGAAACAAGTGACAGGAGTTTCAGAAGAGCTCCCTTGGGTAAAGAAGCTATGGTGGCTGGAGCTGGCAAGATGGCTTTGTGGGTAAAGGCGCTTTCCACCAGGCCTTACCACCTCAGCTGGATCCCCAGGGCCCAACTGGTGGAAGGAGAGAATCAACTCCTGTAAGTTGTCCTCTGACCTCTACACGTGTGCTGTGGCGCACACATATACATACACACTAAAAAGGTAATGTCAAAAATAAGTTATGGTGCATCCATACTGAGGCCATTTGACAAGAGAAAGGATGGATTTGTGAGTCACACTACAGCCTAGATCGACGTCAAGAGTGTGAGTGGAAGGTCAGCACAAGGGTCTGGAGCCCTGTCGTCTTTGAGCTGTCCAGGGTAGGCACATCTGTAGAGGCCAGAAGCAGACCTGTGGTTGCCGGGGCAGAGGGCCGGGCAGAGAGACTGCTTTTGGGGCTTGTAGTTTCTTTTGGGGGTGGCGAAAACATTTGGGACCTAGCAGATGTGCTGTATCACTGAGTGTAGTGAGACTACTCTGAACTGTATCAAATTATAAAAGTGGTAAGTTGACCAGAAAAAATAAATAAATAAAAAAGCCGGGCATGGCAGCCCACACCTTTAATCCCAGCACTCTGGAGGCAGAGGCAGGCGGATCTCTGTGAGTTCAAGGCCAGCCTGGTCTACATAGTGAGTTCCAGGACAGCTGGGGCTACAGGGAGACAGTATCTCAAAAGATAACAAAAAGAACCCCAAAACAAAACTACTACAAATAAAAACATGGGGCAAAGGCAGTTGGGCAGGAATTTGTGAAAAGAAACCAGAAAACATGGTTTGGTTTGAGGCCAGCCTGCAGGAGCTTTTACGTGGGGGGCTGAGATATCTGGTGTACCACACTCCCTATGCGTCCTGCTCTGCCTCCCTTACTCCGGCCTGGGCCTGTCTCCCTCCGAATGGACATTATTTAGAGAAGGGCTCGAATGACCAATAGATGGTAACCACGATGGTGACTGGCAGGAGGCTGGCGGGGGCAGTACCAAGGCTGAGACTCGGGAGAAAGGGTCTCTTTCCCCCGTGAGGCCTTGCTCCAGGATCCTGTCTTCCTGCCCACCCACTTCCAGGGCTGCCACTTGATACCTTTCAGTTCTGTCTCTGTGTAGCAGCGTTGGAAAGGCAAGGGCAAGCTGCCTTCTTCTGCAAGGCTGAGCCTCTTCTGGCCCCAGACTCCCTTTTCCTTGGCCGTTTCTTCCACAGCAAGGCCTCCCTGCAGTTCAGCTTCTGTTTACCCTGGTGTGCAGGTGCCAAGACTCTGAACTGGCTTGGGGCTCTTAGCTGCTTTTGTCTTTGCACCCCACCTCCCAGCTTTAAGCCGGGCATGGGGCATATGTCCCAACCATGGCCGAAGTCTGGCCTCCTGCCTGTACTTGAAAACACAGCTTCCCTGGAGCACAGCTATTCGCTGAGGAATTGTCGCAGACAGGAGACCCCATGAAGCCCAGGTCAGTTGCCCTCTGGCTCTCTGCCAGAATCTGGGTCTCACTATACAGACCAGGCTCCTGCCTTAGCTTCCTAAGTAGTGGGAGGACAGGCCTGTGCCACCACTCAGGTATTACTCTGCTCCCAGTGAAATGTTAGCTCCTAGTTTGGACCTGCATCCTTACAACCGAGTCCCTCCACTGCTAGATCTTTGTTAACTTAAATCTTGTCCTGTCCATGAGCTCTAGGTTAACATCTTGCCAGTGTCCCAATTGCAGCATTTGGCATACAGTAGGGCTGCAGATTTGTACCACACCTAAGCTTGTCCCAGGATGCTCCTTTCCTTGTCCCGTTCTGGCGTCTCCTCTGGGTTTGTTGGCTCTGCCTGGCTTCTACACTGCACCTGAGGTCCCAGTGGATGGGAGGAGGCAGGTTTTAACCCTCAGCACTGCTAGCTGCCCTGTGGGGCTATCCTCTGCGTTAGAGAGTGCTTTGCAACATCCCTGGCTTCTACCTGCCATGTGCCGGTATTATACCAAACCACTCAACTGTCACAGCTAAATGTGTCTTCAGACATTGCCAGTGAACACCCCTTGGAGACCACCTGCCTCCAGTTGAGCCTGCTTTGTTCTGGCTGCTCAGAAAGAAGGGTCAGACTGTCCTGAGGGGCAGACCCTTGAGAGGAAAGAATGTTGGGTGGGAGATGGGACTGGAGCCCCCAAATCAGCCATGTGACTCATCTTTTTTTTTTTTTTTTGTCTTTTTGAAGCAGGGTCTCCCTGTAGCACCAGCTGGCCTGAAACTCGCTATGTAGACCAGGCTGGCCTTGAACTCAGAGATCCGCCTGCCTCTGTCTCTGGAGTGCTGGGATTAAAGGCGTGTGCCTGGCTTATGTGACCCATTTTTCCCATCCTTGGGGAGTGACCACCACATTCTGCTCACAGGGCTCCTGTGAGCTACACCGACAGGGCTTTCCTGTATTCTGGATACCTGCCCTTGCTGGAGGTGAGGGCACAGCACAACCACCATACCCTGGGTACTCTACCCTTACCGACGGCGAGGGCACAGCACAGTTGCTGCCTATTTGCCACTTTCCTCTAAGCATTAATGGCCCAGGGGATGGAGGATGCTTACTTGAGCCACAAGGACCTGTATTGTTTAAAGATTATCTATGTATCTGTCTTAGTTTGTCTCTCCATCACTGTGACAAAACACTCTGACCACTACCAACTTGGGGAGGAAAGGATTTATTCAGCTTACATCTCCCAGGTCACAGTTTATCAGGGAGCCCAAGGTAGGAACTCAGGGCAGGAACCTGGAGGCAGGAGCTGGAGCACAGGCCATGGAGGAACACTGCTTACTGGCTTGCTCCCCTGGCCCCTACTCAGCCTGCTTTCTTATGCAACACAGGCCCACCTGCCCAGGGGTGGCACCGCCCCCAGTGGGCCGGGGCCCCCCTACATCACTCAACAATCAAGAAAATGCCCCAGAGACATGGCCACAGGCCAGCCCAATGGAGTCAATTCCCCAATTGAGGCTCCCCTCAAGCCAGGTGTGTCAAGTTGACACGAAAGCTGTTCAGCACAATTGATCCCTTGTCAACTTGACACAAACACATCACTATTAAACCATAACCTTTCCAATTCTTGTCCCCAAGATATGATGTTAACACTAATATCCCAATATAAGACAGTACAACCTTAAAAGCCCCACAGTCCTTAAAAAAATGCAAACACTTTAAAGTCCATAGTCTCTTTTAAAAGTCTCTTAATTGTAAAATGCAAAACAAGTACTGTCTTATTTCAAAGGGAAGAATCAGGCACACCTAAGCAAAACCAAAGTCCAGCAAAGTAGCTCAAGGCTGGACATCTGGGATTCACTCACGATCTTCTGGACTCCAAAGGGTTCTGGCAGCTCCACTTCTCTGACTCTGTCATCCACAGCACAAACAGCTTGTCTCACAGGCCCAGACCAGCTCCATTCCATACCTACTGCTGTCCTTGGTGGTCATCCCATGGTCCCAGCATCTCCAAAAAGCTGGGGTCTCCACTGAAACTGAGGCTACACCTTCACCAATGGCCTCTTCTTGCCTCTTGGGGTGCAAAGCCTCAGTTTCTCTCCATGACCCCTTCAATTCTGGGGTCTTTGCTGTAACTGAAGCTGCACTTTCACCTATGGCCTTTCCTGGCCTCTCACAGTGCCAAGCCTCAGCTGCTCTCTGTGACCCCTTCACACTTTCAACACCAGAACCATGCAGGAGACTCTTACACATTACCAAGTCCTGCTTCCAGCTTGAAATAGAGGCGCGGGTCCCCTCTGTGTGCTGCCCCTGAGGAAATACCTCCCAGAAGACTTCACCACAATGGTGCTGGTTATCTTGATACTTACAGCTGATTTTTCAGCCCCAGCTAACCAGCATCAATTGTCCCAGCAAAGCAAAGGTTTTACTTCAGGTTCTGGTCTCTTCTTAATCACAGCTGATTTTTCAGTCCCAGCCAACCAAAACCCACAGATTCTCAATTCCAAATCTCACACGAACAGCCCTGATAGTCTCTGTTTCCCTTTGAAGCTTCATAAGCCAGGCCTCCATTGTCCACAACTTTCAACATAACTGTTCCAAGCTCCACAACAACAAACTGAGCACTCAATGGCTTTTCCAGCCCAAAGTTCAGAACACTTCCACAATCCTCCTAAAAATACCAAGGTCAGGTCTGTCACAGCAGTGCCCCACTCTCTCATACCAATTTCTGTTCTAGTTTGTCTCTCCATTGCTGTGACAAAACACTCTGATCACTACCAACTTGAGGAGGAAAGGATTTATTTGTCTTACATCTCCCAGGTCACAGTTCATCAGGGAGCCCAAGGTAGGAACTCGGGGCAGGAACCTGGAGGCAGGAGCTGGAGCACAGATCATGGAGGATCTCTGCTTACTGGCTTGCTCCCCTAGCCCCTGCTCAGCCTGCTTTCTTATGCAACACAGGCCCACCTGCTCAGGGCTGGCACCGCCCACAGTGGGCTGGGCCTGCCCACATCATTCATCAAGAAGATGCCCCATGGACATGGCCACAGGCCAGTCCAGTAGAGGCAATTCCCCAGTTGAGGCTCCCCACAAGCCAGGTGTGTCAAGTTGACACTAAAGCTATCTAGCACAGTATCAAAGCAAGGAGATGCTGGCTGTGCAACTCCATCTGGAATCATTATATTCAGCTAAAAATCAGCTAGGGAGGAAACAAAACAGGGCACAGCAACCAGGAAGCACTGTGATAGGTCCCGTGGACAGAGCTGGTCAGTTCATCAGTTCGAAACACTGCCTCTGGACACCCATGTCTCTGGTTGGGCTACAGGGATTATCATTGAGAAAGAAGGGAATTTTGACACAGGATGCAATGTGGATGATTCTTAAGGATATTATAGTGAGAAAAGTCAGCCACAAAAAGGCAGATGCCTCTGGTTCAGGCCACGTGAGGCTCCAAGCAGTCCGATCCTGCTACGGTAAAGGGGTAGCTGCCGGCAGGAAATGGGGAGACGGAGCTTAATGGGGCAGAAGCTTCAGCACTGCTAAACAAAATGTTCTACAGATTGGGTGAAAATGTGTTTACCACTGTTGGGCTGGATACTTCAAAGGGCAAGATGGTAAATTTTTTGTGTATTTTACCACAGTAATAAAAAAAAAAAAAAAAAAAAAGAACTTAAATATCTAGGTGCTGGCTGCCCTTGGTTTGAGGGGTCAGAAAGTGGCTGCGTGCAGCATACCCGGGTCTGGAGGGGACACATCCAGTCAGTGGGGCAGGCACCTGGGGGCCGCCAAATACCTGCAGTTTCCTTCCAATGGCAGGGTCAGGGCTCATTCCTCCTAGGTCATTGGGGGCGGCGGGGGGCTGCGGCTGTGTCTTTCCCATTGTGATGGTTCAGCCTCAGATGAGCCCAGAAGAGGCCTGTGGTCTCCCTCCCTCTGGAGTGAGGTGTGAGGCTTGGACAGCTGTTACTGCAGGGTGGGGCTCACCCGCCTCAGCTTCTGTTCTTGCTCTCCACAATCCTCAGGCCCTACAGTCACGGCCTACAATTAAGTGGCTCCTGGGGGATCCACACAGCTAGGTTCCTACAAGCATCCACCAATAGACACAGAACCTTGCATTTGGAGCTGCCAAGATGGCTCAGCAAGGAAAGGTACCTGTCACCAAGCCTAGAAACTTCAGTTCAATTCCTGGGACCCACATGGTGGAAGGAGAGAACCAGCTCCTAAGTTGTCCTCTGACCTCCACTCGTGCACTGTGGCATTCAAGGAACCTCATTTGAGGAACTGTCTCCATCAGATTAGCATGTGGTCATGTCTGGGAGGCATATTCTTAACTGCTAATTGATGTAGGATGGCCCAGTCCACTGTGCAGGGTGCCATCCTTGGGCAGGTGGGCCTGGGAGATATAAGAAAGGTCACTGAGCCGGGCGTGGCGGTGCATGCCTTTAATCCCAGCACTCGGGAGGCAGAGGCAGGCAGATCTCTGTGAGTTCAAGGCCAGTCTGGTCTACATAGCGAGTTCTAGGCCAGCTGGGGCTACAGGGAGACCCTGTCTCAAAAAGACCGAAAAAAAAAAAAGAGGTCACTGAGCAAGCCAGGGGAAGCAAGCCATGGCCTCTGCTTCAGTTCCTGCCTCCAGGTTCCTGCCTTGGCCTCCCTTAAGGAAGGACTGTCAACTGTAACTCAAATCTCTTCCTTTCAAAGTTGCTTTTAGTCAGTGTTTTATCACAACAGAATGTAACTAGCCCCCCCCCAATTAAACAAATGTAATTTAAAAAGACCTTTCATTCAACAGATGCTAATGCTGTCACACTGAACTCACAGCAGCTCTACAGCTCTTGACCGGAGGGAACCTTCTGACCCACGTGCTCTTTCAACAGGACCCATCATGGCTTCCTGTGCTTAGCAGACCACTTCAGTGTTGCCCTTGGGGGCACTGAAACTGGGAAGGATATTTGTTTATAGTGCGGAGTTGGGACAGGACAGAGCTCTTTGACCTCAGCTGTCAGGCAACATGCCTGTGAGTGACCTTGACAGTGCTCACTGTGGACTACAGATGGATTTTAAGGGCAGGTGAACCCACCATTTTATACTGTGTCAGTGTGCTCTGACAGCTGTCCCTCAAGTCACTTCCAGAGATGACCATTTATTTCCTCCTTTGATGCTAAGGCCTGGTCCATACCACCTAAGGTCTCTGGACCAGGCCCTTCACTGTCTGCCTGCTCCCTCTTGTTTGAGGGAGCTTGGAGAATACAAGCCTGACCTCATCTCTGCCCTGTCCAGGTCAGAGGGCCCTGCCTGGCCCCATGTGCTCAGCCCTGGCGCCCAAGCCATCCAGGGGCCTGGCCTAGTGCTGTCACCCCTTTGGAATGGTGGTTTGTGTTGACTATGGCTGTGTCCCCTGCTCTTAGGACACCACCAGCCCTGGAGACAAGCATCTGTGGGATTGTCTGAAAGTTCACATGGAGTTCCCCAAACCCCTCTTACTGCCCCATTTTGTGCAGGCCGCAGCACTTACTTTTCTTGAAGAACTTCTTCCGGCGTCCAGCCAGGCCCAGCTTGAAGTTCCCGTCATCACAGCTGCAGGCCTCGCTGCCCTGCCCGTAGTACTTGGGCACCAGGTTGGAGAGGCCTCGGCCACCACCGCCACCACCGAGCCTCATGGGGCCCTTGCACTTGTGCAGTTTCAGCTTCCCGGAAGCATCCTCCACACACTGCCACTTCTGTAGGACACAGCAGCGTCTCAGGCCCCAGGGCCCCAGCCATCCGGCTCACCACATGTCTCTCCGTGAACATGACAAATGCTACCTCCAAAGGCCCAAACCTCTTCAGTGCCCCAACTTGTACCTCAGCTGGACTGTCCATCACCTCCAGTGAGATGCTCCTGCAGTCCTTACACCCTCATTTAGCTGCTCTAGCCTGCCTAAAACTGTGCTGATATGTGGCTGAGCAGTCCATTTTCAGGGTTAGTTGGCTCATGGTCCTCCGACCTAGAACCTTCTAAGACCTTGTCTTCAGGACAAACCCCAGGCTGCTAACTGTGGTACAGTCAGCTGTCAGCCTACCCCTTGGCTCTCTCTTTGGCTGGCCTCCTGTTTTGCTCTTCCTCAGCTCCATCACTCATCACCCCAAATATGCCGCTGCCACCAGCCCTTGGCACTTGCTGTGTGAGACAGGGTCTCACCATGTAGCCCTAGCTGGCCTGGAACTCCCTATGTAGACCAGGCTGGCTTCAAACTCATAGACAACTGCCTGCCTCTACCTCCTGAGTGCTGAGGTCGGTTTCCTGTAGCCCAGTGTGGCTTGAACTCACTATATAGCTGAGGGTGACCTTGGACTCCTGATCCTTCTGTCGCCATCTCCCAAATATTGGGATTATAGATGTGCTACTCTGCTGCCTAGAATGCTTTGCTCCGCTCTTCATGGACCAGAGCCTTTTGTTCTTCGGGTCAGTATGTTTTAATGTCACTTCCTGCAGAAGACCTTCCTTCCACTTCATTTTAGGCTCAATTCCCCATCACCAGGGACTAGACACAGTGTAGTTATAACACTCTCTCTCTCTCTCTCTCTCTCTCTCTCTCACACATCTGGTTTAAGGCATTTGCCAAAAAAAAATTAAATAGTTTTACCTTCTCAATCTCTCTTGTATCCATCTTCTTCTCGTTCCTAGGGCCAACCTCTGAGACCCCTCGTCGGATCCCACCAACCCCTCTAACAGGATTCTCTTCCCTCCTGTCTTGACCAGCTCCAACCCACTGGCAGGGTGTCTAATGTTTTCACATTGTGACATGACCTTGTAGTCTACAAACGTGTTGAGGCCACATCCACAGCTATGCTGGGTTGTAGGAAGGCTATTTTCTATTTCTTTTATAAAAGGAAACCCAGCCACAGAGAGGACACCACAGCGATGAACACTGAAGCAAAGCTATTTACCTCCCAAGACTGCCTACTGGTGCCTTCCAGACAGCAGTGTCACACACCCACAGGACACTGTTCCTCTGACAGGGTCAGGGACCAGAGCCTAATGAAAGGGGATTGCCCACTTCATCATGACCAACACCGGCAGCACCCATGGGCCTCACACCCTGGAGGCCCCAGGGGATGCTGGCCCATGTCCTCACCTGCCCCAGCTGCTCGCATGCCGTCTGGTACTCGGCCCGCTGACACAGGTCCTTCACACGCTGGTATTTGGGCAGGAAGTTCTCCTCCTGGGCATCCACCTTATCACTGTCTCTCTTGTGGAGCAGTTTGCTGTGGGGGATGCAGGGCTGGCTGAGCTGGGGTGGTGAATACTTGTGCCTCGGCTACTGAACTCCCCCCTTCAACTTAGCTCTGTGGAGGATGTGGGCTCAGTTGCTAAGAGCACCTGGGCTTCAGTAAGTTTATAGGAGCCCTCCCAGATGACCTGTGTCGGAACAGATGAGCAACGAAGACTCTATACAGTCAGGCCAGACAGGTCTAAAGGGATGACATGAGGCCTCCAGATGCGAATTCTGCATCTGCCACCCAACAGTGTGCCTGGGGCTTTGGGCACGGTCTCTGAATCACCCACACCACACCCACCTACGTCCTATAGCCTCAAGGCTGTAGGGGCTCCTAGCCCCACACTCACCCTCTCTCTACCAGGAAGGAGTCGCGCCAAACCCTCAGCTTCTTTTTCAAGTGGAACCTGGAAAACAAGCAACGCCGGCTTCCCACCTGCAGGGCCTCCCATGTCCCTCCAGTCCCAGGGGATGACTCCCAGCCTGGTCCACAGGCAGTCCAGACCCCAGGTCAGACAGCAATTGTGGTAAGTGGCCAGCGGGACACTGGATAGGTTTCTACATGCTCTGGACCACTTCTCCAAGATGTGATTCTGAATGCCTAGCTGAGGGTGAAGTCACCCAGTCATGTGGACATCTGGGTATGTATCCATTTTGGTGTCTCCCAGGAGCCCCCCCAATATTGGGAGAGATGGTGTTCCTCAGTTCCGAGTTAATGAGTATTTACAGCGGTGGCTCCTTTTGACCCATTAGAGATGGATTTATGTAACTGAAGCATAGATATATAAAGTGTGCCCTCTTTTCCATTTCACAGATGGGGGTACTAAGACTGAGAGATAACATTCCACTCTGTACCCCAACTCCCAAGCGTCCTGGCTTCCAAGCCAGTGCCCCCACATCCTGGCATGACCATTTCCAACTCTTCTAACTCCCTTAGGCTACAGAGAGACGAGGCTCAGTGGAAACACTCCCCTGCAGGACAGCCAGATGTGGACTTGGATCACTCTCAGGGCTGGACCCTCTGGGAGGCAGTCGAGGAAAGACTCAGACCCAGGCCAAAATGGGACACCAGGCCCTGAGGCATTACCCAGCGGGCAGTTTCAGTATTGGCCACCAGGGGTCACTCCTGCCCTTCTTTCCAGTCCCTCCTGTTTTAGCCCACCTGTGTGTTCACCCCAGAACTGTTGGGCCCTTCTGCTACCCAGAATATCTAGAACGTGGTCCAGTCACACCCCCTGTCACTGAGGCCATAAAAGCCCTAGACATGGTGATGAAGAGTCTGAATTCTTAGACGCCAAATCACAGAACCTCTCTGGGCTCAAATAACACAGGCGCCTGCCTTACCCTGTAATGTTTGGACCAACACATCAGAATCCCCTGACACAGCACAGTACGTGCTCCCTTAGTGTTCCCGTGACTCCACTGTTGCAACTGCTGTTTCTAGCTTGCCATCATTCTAGCTGTGGAAGGGCCCATAATTCCAGATGGGAGGTTGGAGTCCCAGGAGGCACTTTGTTTTTCCACAGGGCAGCATGGGGTACCCTAGAGCCGTGGGACCCATGGTTGAGTCATGTTCACATGCTGAGGAGCCTGCATCCCTCCTTAGGTCTGCCCTACCCACTTCTCACCGGTTCACTGGCCGCTCTGTGTCCAGCAGTTTGAGGATGGATTTCCCGTCCATGTCTGCAGGAATATCCAGGCCAGCGATGTCCAGGATGGTGGGGGCCAGGTCAATGTTGAGGACGATGTGGGGGTTCCTGAGAGATGGGGGAGTAGGAATTTGGCCACCTGGTAGTGGCTTTGCTTGGACAAAGGCAGCTGGGGATGAGGAGGGAGGGACACTGGCAAGTGAGGCTGTTGTCCTGTCACTTCCACCCTCCTTAGCCCTTGCCAAGGCCCTGCTTCAGCTGGACTCCCCCTTTTCTGCATACCTTCTTCTCCCTGCACACTGTGGGGTGCTGGGCTGATGAGGTTACCAGCCCTAAGGGCCACCCCTCACCCTGAGCCTCTGGGACAAAGGCTAGCCCCCTTGATCCTTGCAGGCTGGGCATAGTTTGGCTTCTAAATCCTTGCTGTCCTCTGTACCTGGAACGTTCTTCCTCCAGAGGGCTGTGAAACACCTTCTGGTATAACCAGAGGCCAGGGACAAACCTCAAGTGCTTGGTTTGTCAAGTTTGAAGCTGGACCACATCTTAGTGGTCACTGGGTGAGTGAGGCCCAACCTAGACTTGCAGCCAACCAGCAGGGTGGCATGGGGGATGAGCTGTCACTCCCATGGTTATGTGAAAGAATCTCAACTCTGTCTTGCTAGAGCTCTCGCCCTGTCTCTCCTCCTTGCTGGCACCTCCAGCCTAGCCTGCTGTCCGGGTTCCTCTGCATGTGCCTGACCACCTCAGCCTTGGCTAAGCCTGGACCTCGGTCTCCCTCACACCCCAGCTGCTGCAGGCACAAGGCTGCCATGACTCCTAGCCTTTCTCTGATCTTTGCTGTTCAGGCTCCAGATTGTCATCTCAGAGGTTAGCCAAGGAGAATGGCTGGCTGAGGACTGTGACCCACAGCGGGGAAAGATGGGATGAGAGACAGCTTGCCACTGCCACTGGATGGTAGGTGGTAACGGCTCCCTGGGCAAGTCCCACAGCCACCAAACCAGTTGCTACCCACTGAGATAGAAATCAGAACACCCTTCCCTCATGTTGGACGCAGCTCCTGGGGTTTCCTGGCACACAGCCCCACCACACTATCTGTTTTCACAGGTGCTCATGGTCCCTGGTTTCTCCTGCCTGAGTGTAAGGAGATAAAACTCGCTGGACTCCACCCTGGGTGACACAATGGCTGTGCCAAATGGTCTGAGGTTCGCCTGCCAAAATGATACCCCTGTGGTGTATGTACAGTTTGGGCTGCCATTTCAGAGTCAAGGAGAACCCGAGGTCTCTCGGCGAGCCTGGGACCTGGCCTAAGGGTACAGGTGACACTTACAGAGAGCCAGCCTCTACGTTGGGGCCCCTCACATAGAATGGGACCCTGATGTCAAACTCGTATGGCATGGATTTGCCCTTTACCAGGCCAAACTGGCCGATGTGGTAGCCGTGGTCAGCGGTGTACACAATGTAGGTGTTGTCCAGCTCCCCTGTCTCTACCAGCATGTCGTAAATCTGCAACAGAGGCCGGAGGTGAAATTCCTACTGGAATAGGCTGCTGCTAGCCTTGGAAATTTCCAGATGCTTCCAGGAACATGTGACTCCATCCCAAACCATGAAGCTGGGTGGGGGACAGATTCCCAGGCCCCTGGGACTGACTGCTCAGCCCCTCCTCAACTGTTCCTTGGATTTATCTGCTGACTGTCTGCCTCCCCACACTGAGAGACAGAAGCTCTATCAGCACAAGAATCTTGTCATTTTGTTCCTTAGCAGCTGTACCCCATGTGCACTGACCCTCAGTAAATGACACTGATGAATGAATGAATGAGTGAATGAATGAATGAAGCCAGTTGTGACCTGTAACACATTGTCCCACAGAACTTTGTATGATGGTGGTGGCATGGGGGTCTGTGTTGCCCAACATGGCTATGGAACACATGGACTTTGACTGGTGTGACAGAAGAATGGAATTTAAATTTTATTGTATTTTTGTTAATTTAAGTTTAGATAGCCATGGATCACTGAAATGAGTGCTGTCAGTCCACATAATAAAATAAGATCGCTCAATACAAGAAGTGGATTCTAATTTTCTATTACATTTGTGTGTGTGTGGGGGGGGGGGGGGGATTGCCTGCATGTATGTGAGTGTACCCATGTCATGCAATGCTGCAGAGGTCAGAAAACGGCTTTGGATTCCCCTGGAACTGGAGTTAAGGACAGTTTGTAGCCCACCATGTGGGTGCTGGGAATCGAACCCAGGTCCTCTGCTAGAGCAGACAGTGCTCTTCACTGCTGAGCCATCTCTCCAGCCCCTGCTCTCACCTTTTAAAGCACCCGTAGTTCACAAGGATAAATATAGACCACTGTCCTACTTCCTCCCCTTCATTCATTTCTATTACATTTGTGGGGGGGGGGTGGCTGTGGATGTGTGTGTGTCAGAGGATGACTTGGGGGAGACAGTTCTCTCTACCAAATGGGTCCTGGGAATTGAACTAGGATCGTCAGGCTTGGTACCTTTACCCACTGAGTTATCAGAAATGAATTCTCACATATGTTTCACCATGCATGAGCCTTGAAAACACTACGCTTTGTGAAAAAAGCCGGTCATAAGAGGCCACATTTTCTATGATTCTATTTACATGGAAGGTCTAGAGTGCCAAGTCCAGAGCTTAGAAAGAGCTGCTGAAGACAAGGGGCCCTGGCTAGGACAAGGAGTCTTTGGGGAGGGGGTGATGAAGATGCTGATGGTTGTACAACTCTGTGAGTTAAAACCACCGGGGACCAGGGATGTAGCTTGGTTGGTGGAGTGCTTGCCTAGCATGTGTGAAGCCCTGGGTTCCACCTCCAGCACCGCATAAGACAGGTGTGTTGACTCATACCTATAATTCCAGGGAGGTGGAGGCAGGAGGATCAGGAGTTCAAGGTCATCCTCAAGTACATGGCGAGTGCAAGGCCAACTTGGGCTACATGAGACCCGGTTTCAAAAACAAAGCAAAACGGCCATTGCATTGTATACTTTCACTGGGTAAATTGTACAGTATATGAATCATAGCAACAAAGCTACTGAAATTCTAAGTGGTTTAAGAAAAGAAATTAAGGAAAAAGGAAAGGGAAGCCAGGCGTGGCGGCTTTTGCTTAGAACTAAAACTCAGGAGGTAGAGACAGGAGGTTCACCACGGGTTTGAGGTGAGGCCAGTTTAGGTTACTTAGTAAGTTCTAGGCTAGCCTGGGCTATACAAAGTGATCCCTTATCTCAAAAAGAAATTAAAAAGAGGCCAGGCGTGGGATGCCTTTAGTCCCAGCACTCGGGAGGCAGAGGCCGGCAGGATCTCTGTGAGTTCTGGTCTACATAGTAAGTTCCAGGCCAGGTGGGGCTAGAGGGAGACCCTGTCTCAACAAGACCAAAATAAATAAATAAATAAATAAATAAATAAATAAATAAATAAATAAATAAATAAAATAAAAATTTAAAAAGAAAGAAGGGGAACGGGCAACAAGAAGCTTCACCAGGCAGCACTGGCTGTAGGGAAAGTTCCAGGAGAGTCCCAGGAGGCAGAGGCTGCCCTCTGATTGCTCGGAGACCTGTTCCCAGGTCTACACAGTGCTCTGAGCTGACTTTAGTTTTAGGCCTCTGTAGCTGACACCCTCAAGGATCCTTAGGGCAGAAGGTTCCAGCCCATCATGGCTGGGAGCTCCTGCCCTGGAGAGGCATGCTAGGTGTTGGGGGATGAGGCCTACCGTCTCCATGGAGTCGTCCACGGACATGAGTGTCTGCAGGCGCTTGCGCTGCAACATGTTGGTGAATTCCATGTGGATGGGCTTCATGGGCCCCGTGTAGCGCATGATCCAGTGCTTGTCTGGGTTGGGAGCGTAGTTATAACTCGGCGTGCTGATGGCAAATACACAGGTGGTCAGGCTGGGGCGGGGGTGTATGTGTGTCAGCCTAGCCCCTACCCACAAAGTGCCTCAGATCAGAGGCCCCCCTGTGCCATGATGGCTTGCTCCAACTGGGGGTAAGTGGACACTGGCACCTTTGGGGCTCTGCTAACTACCAACTTTACCCTCCTCCCTCCACTCCCTAGAGGTGTAGAGTGGGCCATTAAATGACCTGGAGCCCTGAAATGCAAACGTCAGGCCCTTCTCAGTTCTTAGGCGAGAGTCTTAGCTCTGAGAACAGTTGGAGTTTGCTCATCAACCTTTTGAACAGGCTCCAGTTCAGAGCCTCAGGCCAGCTAGGTTCTTATCGCTGGTCTGTGTGTGGTGGTTGACTCAGCCCTGGGAGGGCCACAGAATAGCCCTCTGCACTTGATTTTGGTTTGAAAGCAGGAAATAAGTATAAAAATCAAGTGTGTCACAGCTATCCATGTGCAGCCTGCATGCTGAGGATGTGCTACAGCTATCCATGTGCACATCTGGGACAGGATACATGGTTTTGACTTGTTACAGCTGTTCTTGCCACTGTGATTTATCTCCCCTTTTAACTAAAGAGAAGTCTTGGGGTTTGAGAGGAAAGCAGCCTGCCCCAGGGTCTCACTCAGTGATGGAGCCCTGGGCCCTGGGCCTTCTGCCACATGACCAACGGTGATTATTAATGAACAAGTTCCCAGTAACCATCAGTGGGTGGTGGCTGCAGCTCGCTTAGTATGACAGACCTCAGTGCTGTTCTAATTCTCCTGTAGTGAGAAATGGGGCAACAGAAGGAGTCTAACTAGCCAGAGGCAGACCTAGGAGGGGGACTAATTTGCCAGAGGGGACCCCAGGGCTGGAACTCCAGCAACGCCATCTCATCACCAAGCACTCCCCAACATCAAGGACTGTCTGAGGGCCTCAATTGTTGGGCTCAGGTGAACTCCAACCCACACTCCTACTGGAACACTAAGCAGCTGCTAGTCTTGGAACTTTCCAGATACTTCCAGAAACATAAGACTCCATCCCAAACCACAAACACCTTCTGTCCCCTCAGTTCATGCCTGGGTAGGGCCGTTATTGGGCACTATCGTGGGAGCATGATTATGATTCTGTGAGTGTATCCATGCATATGTGTGTGTGGAGGCCAGAGATCAATGGTGGGTATCTTTTTTTAATCATTTTTCATCTGACTTAAAAAAAAAAAATCAACCATGGGATGGAGAGATGGCTCAGTTGGTAAAGGTGCCTGTGGTCAAGCCTGACAAACTGAATTTGACTCCAGGGACCCACATGGTAGAAGGAGAGAACGGACTCCCCACAAGTTGTCTGTGGCCCAGACACCCCCTACCTGCCTCCAATAAATAAATACAGTATGATAAAAAAATTTTCAGTCTTTTTGAAACAGGGTCTCCCTTTAGCCCCAGCTGTCCTGGAACTCACTATGTAGACCAGGCTGGCCTGAAACTCACAGAGATCTGTCTGTCTCTGTCTCCAAAGTGCTGGGACTAAGGTGGGTGCCACCACTCCTGGCCCACAATATAATAAATTTTTAGAAATCATTATTTTTGGGGGGGCATGCATACAGAGGTCAGAGGACAACTTTGGAGTCAGTTCTCTCTCTCTACCTTTTCATGGGTCCTGGGGATCAAACTCAGGTTTCCAGGTTTGCATGGCAAGCACCTTAAAGCACAGAGCCATCCTGTCGGTGGCCCTTAGTTTTTTGGACAGGGTCTCTCTCTCACTCAATCTAGAGCTTGCTAGTTGTTCAGACTTACTAGCCATTTGTTGGGAGTGGGATCCTCCTGTCTCCGCCTCTCAAGTGCTGGGGTTACAGGCGCATGCTGCCACACCCATGTGGGTGCTGAGGACCCAAACTCAGGTCCTTGTTTTTGTGCAAGATCTTTATCTACTGAACCATTGTTCCATCCCCAAGTGGCATTATTTAAAACCTGGCAGACTTGCTGGCCTATACCTGTAATCTCAGTCCTCAGGAGGCTGAGGCAGGAGGATCATGAGTTCAAGGCTGGACAGAGTGAGACTTTCCCTGAAACAAACCAAAACAAACCAAAATACAGACGTAGGCACCCCTCACTATCCAGTGGATCTGGCTTCAACTGTGGTCCCCTCAGATCCCACCCCAACCCCAGCCAGCTGAGTGTTGGGCCTTGTTTGAGAGGACAGGTTCTGAGGCGTGGAGTGAGGGGAGGGCAAGTCTCCTCATCAGAACGGTCAATGCTCCCTCTGCAGACCCCAGCACTATGTCTCGTGTCAAAAGGGCCTGCATGGAAATGGTGTCTGGCAGACAGTGAGCTGTTACTATGTGCCACAGAGGAAGCCAGGGCCTCCAGGCTCTCCTGGCCCTCACTGGCTGAGCCGCAGCCTCCTGCTGCTAAATCCTTCCCAGCCCACGTGTTGTTTGATTATGAGAAATGCCGCTGTCCCTCATGGCCAGCTCAGGGCATGACCCAGGTGTAGAACATTCTTGGAAACAAGCCTCTTTTCTTGAGGAGCCAGAGGGGTTGCTAGGGTGGTGGCAGAGCCACACTGACAGCTGCTATGTGGGGAAGTCACTCCCTCTGACCCAGGCCTAGACTCTGGGATACAATAGCTGTCCCTGACTCCACTAGGAGCCAAGCTGGCATGGTCCATCCCATCTGGGGGCATCTGCCTGGAGGGTAGTACATGTGGCCAGGAGCCAGAGTGTCTTCCATGATCCTTTTACTTGGGAGGCAGTGTGGGGTCAGAAACTGCACAGCTGGACTGGTGCTACATGGGACCTGTGCTGAACTGGTCACCTGCCCCAAGCTGGGGTCCCTTGGGGTCCCAAAGATCCAGCAGATCTCAAATACTGAAGGAATGTCTGGGTGTCTCTCAAGGACCCTGAATTAGCCATCCCATGTCCTCACACTGCAGGATGTTCAGAGGCAATGCCTTCACATCACGGTGGGACCTCTTACGCTGTGCATCTTGGAGCAGCAGCAGCCTGTCACCTGCTACTCCAGGCACAGGTCTGGTCTCCATCTGTGGCGGTCCTGTGCCCTCACTCAGATACCATGTGTTGGAAGATGTGTTAAGAACTGACAGGTGTGTGTACACATATTTGTGTGCTCACCTGTGTCTTTGTGTGTGTGTGTTTGTGTGTGTGTGTGTCTGTACATGTCTGTGTGCTTCTGTACCTATGTTCACCTAGTTATGTGTGTTTCTGTATGTGCATATCTGTATGTCTGTGTATGCCTTTGTGCATTTGAATGCTTGCATCAATTTTTGGTGTGTCTGAATATGTTTATCTGTGTGTGTCTGTGTGTACTTGTGTGAATGTATCTGTGTATGTATGTGTCCCTGTGTGTTTTCACATGTGTGTCTGTGTGTTTGTATGCCTGCATCTGCCCATGTTTGTGTGTGTCTGGCTGTATTATGTGCTGTGTGTCTCCATGCTCCTGTGTGTCTGTACTAGAGTGTCTGAAAGTGTATCCATGTGTGTGCATGTGTGTGACATGGGGATGGTGAGGAGGGCCCTGGGGTGTTGGAGAGGAGTGACCAGAGGTGGCACGGCCCAGCAGCACCTGTCATGGTCCATCAGGCCTGCTCCAGGAGCATGGCTGACACAGGCTTGCTGGGGGAGGGAGAGATCCACAGAGAGGCTCCAGAACTCTACCATCCATGCAGGTCTCTGTCCCCTCTGCACCCCTCCTTGACTGTCACAGCTGAATATCCAGCTGGAGAAACTTGTTTTGGAAATGACTATAAATGATTTGTCTAGAGACAAGCCCTGGTGAGACAAAGAGAGTCCTGGGTGAGCGCGGATGCTATGTGTTTTCAATTTCTGTAATTTTCACTTCAAAGGGATGGTACTTGAGCAGGCAGTGTCAAACACCACACACCTGGCTGGTAGGAACACTGGGGCAGAATGGGACACAGCTGGCCTCCCACTCATGGGAGGAGGACAGAAGGCAGCAGCAAGGGGGAGCTGGGCAGACAGACACATGTGCATAGAGAGACCATAAGGGTTCAGGGTGAGGGCGGCCTGCAGCCCCAAACGCAGCTCATCATCTTCTGCCAACTTCCGCTCTCCCGGGGATCGGAAGGCTAGCACATCACTCTTGCTCCTCTGAGAGCTTCGAGCTGTCAGAAAGCAATGACAGCCGAGTGTGGGCACAGGGCAGGGGTTGGGGGGAGTATGTTCTGATGGATGTGAAAATCAAAACCTTGAATACTCAGGGGGAGTCCAGATTGCCCTGTCCTTGCCCCCTTGGACTGTCACCCAAGGGCTGCCAAGTGCCACTGCTGAGCCAGAGGTGGCTTGAGGAAGAGAAAAGCCAGAGAACTTTTTAGAAAGTTGTACTAGCCAGTCTGATGGAGGAGGACTGGAGGGGTAGGCAGAGAGATGGGAAGTGTGAACAGGGGCTGGATTTGAACCCTGGCTTTGTCATACCAGCTGGGTGATTTCAGGTACCTGTTACTTCCCTGTGCCTCAGTTTCCTCATCTGTAACCTGGGAACATTAAGTGTGGCAGATAGCATCAAAGATGGCTCTAATGACCCACTTCTTGGTTTCCACTACCCTACGTAGGCTGCTCTGTGTGACCAACTGCACGGCACAGTCATGTGTGTACCTTGCCAGGTTATAAAGGATAGCAATTTCTCTTGTGGCCTCTCCCTCTGTGTTATCCAATGGAAAGACCCACATAGCAAGAACCAGTCAGGTGGGCAAGCCCTGCCACCTCTCAGATAACTAACCACAGCTGGGTCAGTGCCCCAGCACCAGTACCATTCACTTTGTTTTTTGAGACAGGCCTTACTTGCTGGTTCAGCTAGGCTGGCTAGCTACTGAGTGTCAGGGATCCACCTGTCTCTATCTCCCCAGCACTGGATCTGAGGATCAGTCTTGGGCTTCTCATGCTTACACAGCAACCACTTCACTGACTGAGCCCTCTCCCCAGCCCACCAGTTTTAGTTTTTGTTTTTGAGACAGAGTCTCATGTAGTCCAGGCTATTTTGAAGCTTTCTGTGTAACTGAGGCTGGCCTTGCATTCCTGATTCTCTGCCTTCACCCCCCCGCCCAAGTGTTGGCATCACAGCTGTTAAGTCCTTTAACCAAGAAGATTAGAGAGGGCACAGCTATATCACCCCATGTCACCCTGTTGGCACTCAGACTGACTCATGGCTTTGTCAGGTGGGAGCCGAGACTTACATGTGCTGGGATGCATTGGGGAAGAGGCGGGAGTACTGGGGGGCTGAATCTTCAGGGCCATGGGGAGCTGCATGGCTGATGACCATGAGCACGGGCCTGTGCGGGTACATCTTCTTGGATGTGCGGAAGAAACTCACACTGTCATTGGTGATGAGGTCCGTGAGGTAATCCTGGAGGAGGGGAGAGGGAGGACGGTGAGAAGATGGGAACTTGGACTAAATGTTCCCTGTGAGCCAGGCACTGTGCTGGGTATCAGAATCAAAGCCATAATCACGACCTGATCACTGCCTTCATGGAGCTCCCCGCGGTATAGACATACAGCAAACAAGCATGTGCTATAAGGGTCAGTGTTTGTTGTCAGTGTGACAGAATCTGTATCACCTGAGAGATGCCTGTAGGCAGGCACTCTACCAACTGAGCCACATCCCCAGTCCCAAACCTACCTTTACCATGTGCTTTTAGAACCATGTGCCAGTTTAGCTGTGAATAAACATTTTTGTGTGTTGCAGACAGGGTCCACTATGTAACCCAGGCTGGCCTGGAGCTGGTAATTCTCCTGCCTCAGTCCTGAGCACTGGGATTAGAGATGTGAACCACCTCACCGGGCACTAGTAAAAATTTCAAATAAAGCCACCACTGACCTCCACTCCTACCAGGAGAGGATGCACTATGGGATTCGATAGCAGTGGCAATGCGTAAACTACAGCTACACAGATTGGCGGGCTCATGTGGCCCAGCTGCTCACAGCAGCCGCATCTTACAATAGGAACAGACACTGCAGTGCAGTGCTGGGTGACAAGACCAGGTTGTGAAAGCCCATGTGTGACCCAATATCGTTTATCTAGAAGTCTAAGAACACACAAAGCATTGTGCAATGTTGGTGCTGCCTGTGGCAATCCTAGGACCCTGGTTACCTCTAGGAGAGGAGGTGGATTGGGGACACCCGAGCTCCCGAAGGCTTTGTGCTGGTCTCCTCTTAGGCTGGGAAGGGTTGAGGGAGATCGGGGCATGGGAACAATTGAGCTAGTGAGCTCTTGCCTCAGTGATCACCCCCTTCTTGACTCCAGCTCTTACCAGTAAGAGTAAACTGGTAAATATGGCTGGTGGAGTCACAGGTAATCTGTCAGAAGTCTCTGGGCCACTCATTTCATGGGTCTCCCCAAAGTCCAGTCCTTTGCTAAGACTGCCTTTATCTCTGCCTATTCCCTGGAATCTGAAACATCTGGTTCCTGTCTCCTTCCTCCCTTCCACCATCCATATGAGTAGTCACATGACCCAGCATCACTGTTAGCTCAGGCTGCCCAATTGAGAACCAGCTTTTCCTTTAGCTGGGACCAAGTTCTGGTGGCAGAGAGAAAGGGGAGGGGGCATGGGTCAGGGTGGTGGGAGGCAGCCATCAACACAGCAGAGTGTGGTCATTGACTGGATGCTGGGTTTCCTTGTAGGGGGACAGAAGCTCTTACATGCCACCCTCCCAGCCCCGTGGGTTTCTGGTTGGACCAATTAGGGGACAGGGTCCAGAAGAAAGGGAATGGGGAGGGGGTGTTGCCAAGCTCAGCTCTGGAGAAGGAGTGGGCCACACGAAAGACAGGTGACAGGTGGGAAGCCCTTTGGTGGTGGCCCTCTGGGCGTAGCCAGACTTTGCCCTGGTTCACTTCTGGCATGCTCAAGTCGGTGGACAGAGGTACCAGGTTTGGAAGCCATGAGTGGGCAGCCAGACACAGGGCTAGTTTGGACACCCCTCTTGCATGTTCTCCTGGAGCCCCTGAACCTTCCTGCAGGCACTCCCATCTCTACTGACTCCATGGAGGGTTCAGAGAAGCTTGCAGCACAGGGCTCTAGGCAGAGTGAAGTGAGGCCACAGGCTTTTTCTCCAAGCAGGAGACTAGGAAAGATCGACACATGAGTGACTTGGGCAGAGCTCTGACACTGGGCCACACCAGCTGCTGAAGTGCTGTTCTCTGTGTCTGTACTGATCAGTCACTGGGTGCCTCTCCCAGCGCTGGGAGAGAAAGAGTACAACCCTGTCCCCTACGTCAGAATATGGAATTTTTACCTCTCAAGCTCCTTCTGGCACCAGGCATGGTGGTGCATGCCTTTAATCCCAGCACTTGGGAGGTAGAGGCAGGGGGATCTCTGTGAGTTCAAGGCCAGCCTGGTCTACATAGTGAGTTCCAGGCCAGCTGGGGTTACAGGGAGACCTTGTCTCAAAAAAAAAAAAAAAAAAAAAAAAAAGATCCCTCTAGCTGCTAGGTGGGGAAAACTGGTCCCCAGAACTAGAGACCCCTCTTCACACCCCCTCACTGCTGTGTCACCCCAACAAAGCTCTCCCTTTCCAGAGCCTTTAAGCCACAGAGCATCACATTTTCACTCCAAACCTCAATCTGATCTGCAGCCTCAGCTTCCCAATCAGGAGACTGCTAACCAAGTGACTTGTCCCTTCTGCCCCACACGGGGCGGCTTGGTCTCAGCCTACAGTGCTACTGGGAGGTGGTGAAGCCTTTAAAAGGTAGGGCTTAGTGGGAATAAGTTAGGTTAGTTGGAGCATGCTCTTGAAAAGGGTATTAAATCTCTGTTCCTGGGCTGGAGAGATGGCTCAGCAGTTAAGAACACTGGATGTTCTTGCAGAAGACCTGGGTTTGAATCCCAGCACCCACATGGCAGCTGACAACTGTCTGTAACTCTAGTTCCAGGACATCCGACATCCTCTTCTGTCCTCCTTGGGCATTGCACGACATGGGTGCACTTAACTACATGCAGACAATACACGCATACACATTAAATAAAAATAATAAATAAAATATTGAAAAAAAATCTCTGTCTCTGCCATGCACTTCTGCTATGATGCCCTGGCTTTCTACAGGTGCAAAGCAGCAGCAGCAGCAGCAGCAGCAGCAGCAGCAGCAGCAGCAGCAGCAGCTGATGTCTATGGACTGAACCCTTTGGAGCAGTAAGCTAAAATAAACCCTTTCTCTTGTTAAGCTGATTTCCTCAAGTATTTTGTCACAGGGATGGAAAGCTGACTAACAGTTACACTTGACTTGTCTTGTGTATATTCTCTGTGGCTGACCTGAGAGGCTGCGACAGAGACTGTACAGCTTGTGAAGCCTAAACACAGGAACCCCTTTACTGCCTTGATTTAAGCTATTCAGTACTGAGTGTTATCACATCCAAGGGGCTCTTCTGTCCCCCTGTATGTACTGATGCAGGAGATCCTTAGAAACGGTAGTAACCAAATCATGACAAAACACCACAACTCTCCAGCCAAGTGCTGACATAAATGGGGAACACCTGGCACCCCATATTTCTACCAGGGAGTGAAGCTGGCACAGCTCTTTCCCGGATACTGTCCCCTTGAGTCTACTCTGGGTAGATCACGTATGAAAAACCACACACGGGATGTTCCCAGTGCTCACGGCCTGCTCATGGATCAGCATGTCTGTATACACGTGGGAAGATTATGTAGAGATAAGCAGCAGAAATTGGGCTGCGGGGGTGGGCAGGTGGGGGATGGCTCAGGGGTAACAGCACTATCTGGGCAGGTGTGAAGACCTGAGTTCAAATCCCTGGAACCAATGTAAAAATCTGGGTGTGTCTGCACAAGGTGCCTGTAACCCCAGTACAGTGTGTGTGGGGACAGAAGGATTTCTGGGGTTTGCTGGCTGTCAGCCTGGCTCCAGGTTCAGTGAGATGGAGAGTCACAGAGGGAGATGCCCAACTTCTTCCTTTTGCCTCACTGTGCAAGGGCAAGGGTGTGTGCACCCCATGCATATACCACGTGCGCACACATGCACGCACACCACACACGAATGTCTTGCTTCAGTAAAATGTTAAAAACCAAATTCTCAGCTGGGAGTGATGGTGCACACCTTTAGTCCCTGCAGAGGCAGAGGCAGGCAGGTGGATCTCTGTGAGTTCAAGCCCAGCCCGGTCTACATAGTGAGTACCAGGTCAGCTGGGGCTACAGGGAGACCCTGTCTCAAAAAGACCAAAAAAAAAAAAAAAAAGCAAAAAAACCACCAACAACAACCCCAAAATATTCTTCAAGAGATGGAAAACCCTAGAAGCAGAGGGGGCGGCTCAGGGTCACACACTGAGTTAGGTGTGAGGATCATAACACAAAGCCCAGGACGTCCCCTCCTGTGCCTGGGGAAGGTGCCCTTACCTTGGAGTAGTCGAAGCCATGTTTCTCCTTCACCCCGTTCCGGCAGAGTGTATAGTTATAAAAGCGGGAGTTTTTAAGGAGCCCAACCCACTCCTTCCAGCCTGGCGGCACGTAGGAGCCATTGTACTCGTTGAGGTATTTCCCGAAGAAAGCTGGATAGAAGGAAAGATGAGAGACGTGAGAGAGCGGGCAGCCTGCCTTGATGCCCATGGCATGAGACCAACAAACTCGCCACTCTTTAGCAGGCCTGGGGGAGTCAGGGGACCCCTCTCATTGGTGTTTGTATGCCCCAAATAAGAAAGACGGGATTACAGAGGAAATCAAGCTATTTTGAAAGATGGTTATAGAACATTAAAAGAATTTGCATGGGGGGAAGAGGCAGGTGTATCTCTATGAGTTCGAGGTCAGCCTGGTCTACATAGTGAGTTCCAGGCCAGCCAGGGCTACATAGTGAGCTCCTGTCTCCAGAAAAAAACAAACTAGCCAGGTGTGGTGGCTCACGCCTTTTATCTCAGCACTTGGGAGGCAGAGGCTGGTAGATCTCTGTGAGATTAAGACCAGCCTGGTCTGCATAGCAAGTTCCAGGCCAGCTGGAGCTACAGGGAGACCCTGTACCACTCAGCTCCCCCAGCCAAAAAAACCCAAAAGCAAACAAAATAAACCACCAGACCAGACCAAAATAAAACAACAACAAAAAGAATTTTCAATAGGGTAATTTGTGATTTAAAAATTAAGATATCAAAAGCAAGACCTTGAAAAGGGCAATAATTTCAAAGTAGTGATGAGTGAAAAGATTTGATTTTGTGATACTGGTAACAACTGTAGCAGGCTGTTCAAATGTCTTCCTTTCCCGGCTCTCCTCCCTTCCCTTCCCCTCCCTTCCCCTCCTTCCCTCCCTTCCCCTCCTTCCCTCCCTCCCCTCTTTTCTCTTTTCTTTCAAAAAAGTTTAATACTGTGGCCCAGGCTAGGCTGAAACTATGTAGCCCAGGCTGGTTTCAAATTCATGATAACCTTCCTGCCTCAGTCTCTCTTTTTTTTTTAATTTTTACAAAAACTTTGAGAATTTCATACATGTATATAAGGTGTTTTGATCAAATCCATGCCCACTCCCTCCCCTCCAACATTCCCCCCTCTGAAGAGGTAACCCTAAAATCTTTTAAGGATTAGACACAAGCTCCCAAATACTTTTGACATTTTTGGCCTTTGGAACAGAGTATGTTGCTAACAGGCCCAAGGACATTTTGACTTTAAGCCAAGAAACTGGCTACATTTCTTTGGGGTCTTTTTACCCTAACTGCCCAGCCAATTCCTACCTCCTATTCTTATCACACCATCCTCTGAAGGGGTTACCCAAATTGCCAATAGGGAATAGGGATGCTGACCGCTCTGGCTTCTTCCATGCTGAACAGGGGCGCAGGGTGTGCCTCAGCCTCTTGAATGCTGGGATTACAGGTGTGAACCACCATGCTCAGCTTAAAATGTCAGTGATTTCTATGAATGACAAAGTCCTGGATTCCGATCTCTGGTCCTTGCGCATGATGGAAGCAAATATGTCATTTCTGCTGTAGGTTAGTGACAAGTGTCATTTCCCCATTCAAGCTTCTGGGTGCTTTGCAGTCTGTAGTCCACAGTCACACAGTGGTAATCAAAAGTCAACAACAATGAGAGCTGGGGGGGATGGGGATTGTTGGGGATGTGCCAACTGTGGGCACCTCCTTGGCACAGTCTGCTAAACTTGAACATAGAGCCCCTGACCCAGCGATGTGAAACTTGAGTACTCAACAGAAAAACACACACAGAAAAAAAGCACACGTTTATCCAAAGTCATAGGCAGGCCACGCCAACAGCAGCACAATCATTATAGCAAACGGCTGGAAATAACCCTAAAGCACACCGAGAAAAGGACAGGAGGATGCAACGCTGGAATATTTACATAGCAGAGAGCGGCACAAGTTGGTTCCGCATTCAAGAGCCCAGGTGCATACGACAGCCCAGTACCACCTCAAGAAATATGCCGGATAGAAACATGCCATCCTGCCTCATTTACACGGAATTCAAATCTGTGGCCAGATGTGAAGGTGGAGGTCTGTGTGACTTTGGCCAGGAGGTGGAGAGGGAGAGGCCTGATGGTCCTGCGTTCCATGGGTGATATCTCAGAGCTGGCCATCTGGGCATTTTGCACTTTTCTATCTGCGCTTGTTGTCAACACCACTTGCTTTTAACAAAACCACACGAATTCTCCGTCACGGGGTGGGGGGGGTGCAGCTCTGAAACCCTGGGGGACAAGGAAACAGACCAGATGGGGAGGGGTTCCTTTTCTACTGTTTTCTTTCTGTGCCCCAGGGGTTGCACAGGCTTTCAGTAATTGTAACCTTTGAGGCCACCATTAACATTTGGAAAGTTTGACAGACAGAGGTCCTATCCCAGTCTTCTCTCAAGTCACTCCACCACAATTGCAGCCAACTGTCCGAGGAACAGAGAACTCAAGAGCACACTGCTCTGGGCTACACCTTGTGACCAGGGGGTGCACAGTGTGCAGGGGATGTTGGTGCAGTGCTCAAGATGAGGCGACAGGTAGGGAGGGACAACCTGTGTGGGAGAGAGGAGGGAGCAGGGCCGATGTGGACCTAGAGGGCTGTGTTGGGCCCCTCTACCTGGGACCTTTAAGAACACAGTTGGGGAAGCCTGCTGACTCAGAGGAAAAGGGCTATGATGGTGGGATCCCTGGAGACCCTGCAGTTGCCTGGGGGAGAGGTTTATCTCCCTGGAGCTTGGGCAGCTGGACGCCAGAGTAACTGGTGCAGATCAAAGACGCGTCTGCCGACTGCCCAGCAGATACGCAGGGCCAGGGTGACTGGCTGCACCTGAGGGGACACAGAGGAAAGACTGCTTGGAAAGTCTGGGCTTCAGAGAGAGGCAAAAATAGGAAGGAGGATCCCTCTGGGAGGGGTTGGAGAAGAATGGAGAACCTGGCGATGGGAGGGGGTGGGGAGGCTGTACCATCTGACCGTCAGCAGCTTCCAGTGTTTATCATTAGATGTGATTAGGCAGGTGGGTGCATCATGAAGCAGTGACTGAGAGTTCCTGGCTGGGTGTCAGGAGTGACGGAAGACCTCTGAATCAGGAGGCATCAACAGCTCTGCCAGAGCACGAGAGACATAAGGTCAAGGTCTCCACAACTTGTCATGACTCCGGGGGCTGCTGGACAGTTACCCATCTTCCAACACCCAGGCAGCCTTCTCACCACAAAGAACCATCCAGAACAAAATGTCAGTGGAAGAACTGTTTGTCTTTTTTTTTGAGACAGGGTCTCCCTGTAGCCCCAGCTGTCCAGGAACTCACTATGTAGACCAGACTGGCCTTGAACTCACAGAGATCCGCCTGCCTCTGCCTCCCAAATGCTGGGATCAAAGGTATGTGCACCACGCCCTGCTCAAGAACTGTTCTTTTTAAAAACTTCATCCATCACCTGGACCTAGAACATCTCTCAGTTCTTTACAGCCATACTGTGAGAACTGAAACAGCCAAGGTCAGGTCTGGCTCAGGAAACCAGACCTAATAACCTGGGCATCCTCGGTTCCCGTGGCAGACCCTCCATGCCCCAATCTCTATCTCCCCACTTCCTACAGCCCCTCCTCCACGGGAAGAGCCTCCCCAAACACACAGAGGGGGCCAGCAGGTTGATGGGGGCAGGATTTGAAGGATCATTTCTTGTGTGCAGGCCTGGATATGAGGGAAATTGTGCCAGGCAGCGGAACGGCAAGGTACAAAGTTCCTGTGGTAGGAGCAAGCTTGGGGACATGTGAAGAGCTCAGGGAGGATGGAGAGGGAGGGAGGAGGTGACATCACAGGGATCAGGAGCCAGGTCTCCCTGGCAATGAGAAGCTACCAGGTCGAGCCTTACAGGGGTCCACACCTGCAGATGTTGTAGTTCATGTGCATTTTCCTGGTAATATATCCAGTCTTTGACATACACTGAAAGGAACCCAGCCCACAGCTCACTTAAGAAGCATGAATCAGGGTTGGAGAGATGACTCAGTGGTTAAGAATACTAGAAGAATACTAGCTGTTCTTGCTAGAAGACCTGGGTTCGAACCCCAGCATCCACATGGTGGTAAACAACCGCCCATAACTCCAGTTCCAGGGGACCTGACACCCTCTTCTGTACTCCATGGTCACTGCACATTGCATGACACGGGTGTAATGTAATACACACATTCATATAAAATTTTTTTAAAAAAGACAAAAAGAGAGAGAGAGAGAAGCACGAATCAGCCCCTCACTGTGCACGCAGGTGAGCAAGGGCCAGAGGGAAAGGCCCACTGAATCCCCTCCCAGGTCTTCAGGTCTCCACCTGCCCATCCCACTGGTTTGTCCCCAAAGCTTGGGGCTAAGGTCTGCAACACCTGTGCAGCTCTGAATGCTAAAAAATGCCACCGCTTGGCCAGGCTGGCAGGGTCAGGGGTCTGCGCCTCTTACCTTCTGCTTCTCTCCAGTCCCCAACCCTTACTGATTCCAGACCAACCTTATTATCCAGGCTACACCAGGCCCTAGCAAACACGGCTTCAGTCGGAGGCTTTTAGTGCCAAATTAGATTTCTCTCTCATTTGATTAGACTCCCCAGGGCAGTTTTTGAAATGATTATTCTGGCACGGGAGAGATGGGAGAAGGAGATTAGCACGGGCCAGGGGCTGGGGGCTGCAGTCAAGAGAAGGAGTCGGAGTGGAGTGGGAGCGGGGGTGAGATGCACAGCCTGGTTTGGGGCTGGAGCTGGGCAATCTGCACTCGAGAGCTGTGGCTGCTGGGATGGTGCAGGAACAGGGGATGGTGCAGGAACAGGGGATGGTGCAGGGACAGAAGAACTTGGCAGCAGATTACGAGGACTACGCCAAGCCAGGAAAGGCCAGGGACAATGTGCCAGCTGGGGGCTGTCCCCAGGAAGTGTAGCCACCCATGACATTGGGACTGCTACGTATTTAAAGCATTTTGAGTTGGACTGAGTTGCAACTGCAAGGAGGAAGCAGGGTTGGCATCCTCCGAAAACGTGGGGCAGACCAGCTCTGTGAGCCAGGGCCTGGGAGGAAATTTTACACCTATAGGAGAAACATGTTTTCTAAGCCCTGGGCTGACTGTGGTCCTTTGGGTCTCAGCT